GTAGCGGGGCACCTACCACTTCTACGTTGGGGTCTTCTATTATATCCATGAGTCAACTCCTGACCCTTCTTCTCTTCTAGCTTTCCTAGCTCTTCTGCCCCTTCCACCTCTTCTATCACTATCAGCCAACAATCCAGTTCTATCAGTACCTCCATCCCCTCGTAAGTTACACATATATTGCAAGTCGTGTCAGCAGACTAACCGATTCAACCCCCAGCACGAGTACCCCCTCGACAACATCTACGTCGCTAACTACACCCAACTCCACGCCTATGCCTGTGCCTACTCCCACACCCACACCCACACATGCATCCACACCCACATCATCTGCTTCTCTGATCGTCTTTACTTCAACCTCCGGCACTAGCATTATCTACGTGACTAGTACCGCGTCCAGTTCAGCGTCTACCATCGCTGCAGCTCCTCAGTCATTCTTCCAGAACAAGCCTCTGGAGGGTGGGGTGTTTGCCATAGTTGGAATCGTTATCATGATCATCGTGTTCGTCATCATCACATACACTATCCGTCGTCGTCAGCGCAATCGTCTTGAGAGCGACATCGCCGATGCTATCACGTTTGACCCGGTCGTGAGGGAGCACTATGGAGATGAGGAGAAGGGAACGAACACCTTTGAAAAATACAGGCTTAGTAGCAGTTCCTCAGGTCATGGTCATGGCTATGGGTACGGTCCCCAGCCTGCATACGCGCCACCGGCCGTTCCTCAGTACGGTTACTATGGCTCACAAGGATATGAACAGCAGGCAACCGCTTATCATGTCCCTCCCCCTCAAGGCCCCGTCTATAACCTCAACAATGCAGTTAACACGGGTGGCATAGCTAATACGGGTGGCGCTGTTGATTCGAGTGGCGCGGTCGATACGGTTAGTTCAGCCAGTACGAGTGGTGCCAACCTCACTCGCAAATATTCAAACCGAAAACCTGTTCCACCTCTCCTGCCAAATCCCGTCTATAACCCATCTCAATCTCCGGTTCTTCCCTCGCACTATTACATGCAGAACCAGGATGTCCCGATCTCACCGATTTCTCAATCAATGGATATTTCTGTACCCCCCGGTGATCTGCCGACGTCTGCGCTACCTGATGACTCGGAGGACGATCCTTACACAGGAATGGTAGAGGCACGTTGATTTTTTTTGAACTTTCACAACATACTTAAACATGGGTTTGCAGGTTGTCGATCACTAAATATACCCAGTGCTTTTTTCCCCCGATACCCAAGTGGCAGTTGCTGTGTTGGTTTCCTGTCCGACTATGCTCCCTTGCCTTCAAATTGTTTCGAGCAGCGCTCGTGTTTCCGTTTTTATAGTTTCAATTAATCAACTTTGATGTGCTGTGCTCATCGGATGTTGTTGATTCTTGTTTGAGCTGTCATGTAGGCGTAGGGTGATCAATCACCCATTCTAGACTGCTGTTGTTGTTCTCAGTATCATTGTATCTATACTGTTTTTTTTTTGATATTTGCATGAATCAGAAAGTTTTAGAGTATGGCTGCTTGATCGAGAGGACACGCAAAGAACTGTAAGTCCTTATTACTCGTCCTTCAAGGGCTTGTCTATTTCGACGGGGTTCGGACTGTCCTCTCTCGTTTCATGCTTCATGGCTTTCCTTTTTGCCAAACGCTGCTCTCGCCGCTCCAGGTACCAGACTAGCCAAGTCACTCCCAATGTTGCTGTGCACGTGCAAATCATTGCGATCATACCCCTCTTGAAACGGGGCGCATCCGTAGCAGGGTAGAAGAGGAGTGGCCACCAGGCATTAACCGCGTTGTTCCACATGCTTGATGTCCAAGTCAGTTTCGCAGCATGAACTCTTTCAAAAAAATCACTTCATGGAGGCAAGCACAATAGCACGCTCTTGATAGTCATCTGCACATATCTGGTTTGCCCAACTGCAGAACAATCAATTCAGCATGAGTCAATATGATAGTTGCGAAGATGTAGCTGACGCAAATGTGGTAGCTTGTCCGGCATACGAGGCTCCTGCAAAGTCTGAGAGGGACGAACTAAGTTTGCAAAACGGTAGCCTCAGTAGAGATCACGAACAATAGGCGAAGAATTTCAACCCCGTTGGACTACTCCACACAAGGATACAGATCGCAGCGACTGTGCAGCAGAAGCACATGTACACGAGTACGGGCCATCTTGCTCGTGTGTAATCTGTCCAAGTAGCGCAGACAAGCGTGGATGCAATTCCGAAAGCTGTGACTCCACTCGGGTAGTAATCTGATAAACGGATCAGGGAAAGAAAGATGCAGACACGTAATGTACCCACCAACTTGTTCAACTGTATAACCGCCTATGGCAGACAGCCACTGGCCCATCAGATTGTTGGAACCGAAACTTTCAGTCTCTCCTGAGATGGCGAACTGTACGAACTGTGTTTATCCATACTCGTCGAGTGACGGAAGATGCTTACGAGGAGACTACATCCGTACCAACGCCAGCGGCTAAGCACTCTCTTCGCAAGATCCCAAGAGAGACTATGATGGACAACATCCGAGTCGAGACGGTCTTGAGAGAGAGCCCGTTCCTATGTGGAAGATAAATACAACTGGGAAACGGATGTTGACATATCTCCAAAAACATACCTCTTCACTGAGATAAAATGCTTTGGTGGTCGATGGCACATCAGGGAAGACGAGAAAGCCGTAAAGTGCAATCGGGAGCGTGATTACACCGTCGATTATGAACCTAAATTAAATGGTTCTCTGAGCGCTAGCGCTCCGATCAGAAATCTGGGGACGCTTACAGCCACCGCCATCCACTTCTTCCGCCGACGCCTTCAAGATGTCTCATAAAACACTGGTTTGAAATCTTCAGTCTTGGTGGAAAACATGATATCTTACTGGTAAACGGCTGCTTGAAGCACACCAGAGAACCTATCGAATGTCAGCAAAATGAACGAACGTCGGATGATTACCTTACAGTGTCCCAGCTAGACCAGAACTCGTGAAAATACCCGAGCGCTTCCCCAATTCGCCAGATTTGTACCATCTTCAAGAAGCGTATAAGAGAATAAGAGAATGTTCCTTGAAGAAATGAAGCACACTGACGATCCAAGAATATAGTGCGTGCCTACGAAGGTCGATGCTTCTGATATGCCTTGGAAGAATCTGATAGCGTACAGCTATTTGCGGAAGCGGTTAGCGGGGAAACAATGTCATGGAGGGCCTTACCTGTTGAACGTTATGGACGGTACTTGAACTGTGTCATCAAATTTATCAATGCCGTGCTTGTTGCATTCTTGATAATCGAAACGAACCAGAAGGTGAGCACACCCCATACTATCTGCATCGATGGAAACCACAATCTTGGTGGGACGACTTGGAGCATCAAATTGTCTGACAAGCATTGAATAGGGCACCTCGGGTAACATAATTGCTTAAGGCCTACTGGGAATCATCCCGACAATGTAGCCGCATGTAAAGATCGTATTTATTTTCTGCGGAGGCGCTCAGAGAAACCTCCCTGAAAACACATATATGGAGTACGTACATTGAAGTCATTTCCTTGCATGTTGAGTTCTTGCTTCATCCCGGATACATATGCATTGTTTACATTCGCTCGATCAAGGTCTGGTTACGAGAATTATGTCAGAGACAGCTACCCGGATATATGAAGTGGTAAGAACTCTAAAGCGAAAATGCCTCAGGTCTGGAGAAAGCTTCGCTGTGACTATATCACCGAAGACTAACGTCGCGATCGTAATGCGTTCAAAAGCTTCCTGCATTAGAAACATGCAACATGCCCGACGACAAAGGTAAACAACGTAAAACTCACAGTTCGTGAAATACTACCACCGCAGTGACGTGTTTGCAATCAGCGTTTTCTCAAGATCAATCAATGAAACATACCATAAAACAGCAATAAGACAAAATGAACCAGTCCAATTTCAGGAGCAGCCTTTGCTCCAACTTTGAGGAGGGTACCTCTCCCCAGAGGAACTGCCTGATTGTTTTCCAACGCATTTTGCAGGATGGTCGGGTTGGCTTTCGAAGTCAGCCTTTGAACGGCGAACTTGGAAACTGAACACGATAGGATAGGCGCCATATGGAGTCAGCCTGAGATGATGATGGGAATGCTATAATTAGCTGTCGATTTAAGCAGGTCACACCCTGTCACACCCGGATGACACCGAGTCGAAGCTAAGTGCGTATTCTACAGATAATTAAAAGACTACACTGATGCGGCTTTGCTCGTATACGGATTAGCATGAAATATCATCAATGTGGCACAATGGAAGCATCATACCAGTAAGTAAGCCATCAGAAAATACGCAGCATGCCGTATTGTCCTGCCCGCACCTCGGCATTGAGTCATTGACCGATAGGCTAACTTGCATGTTCAACTCTTGCAGCGCATTGGATAGTCAGGTCATCCGACCACGGCGGGGCAGTTCCGCTGCCAGTTCTGATGGGGAGCAAACCGATGTTGTGGCATGGGACCCGCAGCCGCAGCCCAGGGCGTCATTCGCGCCAACGTCTAACAGGCACCTAACAGTATGTATATTAATTTAGCTACTCCACCGTGATACGACCGAGATCCCCACCGTTTAAACTCAGCACCAAAGGCCCCTAGCCCTATCCACAGACTACAACGACGGCTCGCCTCATAGACAGACTGGTTATCAGTCTAAGACTTTGGCTCAAGAGTCTATTAATATGTAGGTTAGCCCCAGAGCGGCCATTTACCAGATGTGTCACTGTAATACCCACTATCTAACGGCAGCGAGAAACTCGTCATCGGGTGGGCGGTGTTTAGCAACAGGTGCTAGTGCAATGTACCAAAGGGTACTACTTCAATGAGATTGATGATCTTTTTTTTTTGTTCCATTTCAGACTTGTTTTAAAATAATGAAGCCTCACGACGGACACAAGCTTAGGTCATAGATAAGGTGGTCAGTATAAAACTCCTTTCATCTCGTCCTGCAAGCTTCACTACAAACCCACTCTCGAGTTGATCGTCCTCTCCTAGTACATCATGTTGGCTCTCACCAACGTCACTGGACTCTACCTATGCCTTGTTTGTGTCGGAGCATATCTACTTAAGCAGGTGTTCAACAAGAAGAACCCCCCATATCCCCCTGGCCCTCCGGGGTGGCCTCTCATCGGGAACATCATGGACATGCCCTACACCAGGCCCTGGCTCACCTTCACAGAGTGGGGCAAGAAGTATGGTGAGTGTTTCTTGTTTCACATAATCTTACATTTCAATGTCTTGTCCGACTCGACAGGTGACATTTCGCATATCAATGTTCTGGGTCAACACATCATAGTGCTGAACTCTGTCGAGACTGCGATGGAAATGCTGGACAATAAGGGCGCTATTTACTCTGACCGTCCTATTCTTACTGTTGGCGGCGAACTTATTGGCTGGAAAAATGTTATAACTCTCCTCCCTTATGGCGACCATCTACGCCGGCACCGCAAAAAATTCCACGGCGTCACAGGCACCCGCGCTGCTGTGGGCACATACAGCCAAGTCGAGGAGGTCGAGACTCGCCGATTCCTCAAGCGTGTGTTCGCGAAACCCAATCAACTGCACGCACATGTTCGACAGTACGTATAATTTATCATTGCATCAACACGATCTTGATTTTTATAGCACTGCTGCCGCTGTGATTCTTCGCATCTCTCATGGTTACGAGGTGAAAGAGAATGACGATCCCTTCGTTGACCTTGCAGAACGCGTTATGGGCGAGTGGTCGCGTGCCAGCGCTCCTGGCGCTTTCATGGCTGATATTGTACCATTCTGTAAGCCATAGCATTCAGATGCTTGCTTCCAATGGCCTCACCATTTTAGTGGCCAAGGTCCCTGAATGGTTCCCTGGTGCTGGCTTCAAGCGTCTGGCCCGCGAATGGCACGACAACCTTGAAGAATTCGTTTCTGCACCATACAATTTCGTCGTGGATCAGATGGTGACCATCATTTATAATTCTGCAAGTATGCGTTGAAGTTTGACTTTCACAGGCTGCTGGCATTGCCTCGGAGTCTTTCACCTCGAATCTATTGGGAGGCGGTACTTTGTCAGCGGAAGACGAGCACCTCGTGAAATGGACTGCTGCAGGTCTATATGCCGGCGGTTCCGACACTGTTGGTCCCTCCCTCCATATTTCTGACAACCATCTTCTGAAAGTGGTACACTTTTGCCCCAGATTGTTTCTACTATCAACGCGTTCTTCCTAGCTATGACGCTATTCCCTGACGTGCAGAAGAAGGCTCAGGCTGAAATAGATGCTGTTATCGGTCCTGATCGTCTTCCCTCCTTCGCCGACCAAGACTCTCTCCCCTACATCGGAGCGCTTATCAAAGAGGCCCTACGATGGCATTCTGTTGCCCCTACCGGTCTGTGTATCTCGTTCAATGCATTATCTAGTTACTGAGTGGTATCTCCATCTCAGGTTTTCCTCACTGTGTCTCTAAGGACGATGTCCATGACGGGTACTACATCCCAAAAGGTGCCTTTGTCATGCCTAATATCTGGTCAGTACGCTTTTTTTCCATATTCCGAGTCGATGTTTGAACAGAATATAATGGCAGGTTCATGCTGAATGACCCGAAGAGATATGCTAACCCCTCGCAATTCAATCCTGAACGCTTTTTGGCTAATGATGGGAAGAAGCCTGAGAAAGATCCCCGCACGATCTGCTTCGGCTTTGGAAGACGGTAAGCATGCAGTAGATTTTTGTGCCATGCTAACTTTCTACTCTGCAGTCTTTGTCCAGGTATGCCCGACTCCCAAACTGTATCCTGGCGTTGAATTCATTTTCGTTTACAGGTATTCACCTCGCTGAAGCCTCAGTCTGGTTGTCCGCCACGATGTCACTGGCCGTGTTCGATATCTCGAAGGTCGTTGAGAATGGTATTGAGATCACCCCTGAGGTTGATCCATCATCAGGCACAGTCAGGTATGTTGCATACCTGATCACGTCCGGCGCTGAACCGGATATATGCCCTTCTAGCCACCCTAAACCGTTCAAGTGTTCCATTAAGCCTCGCTCTTCAAGAGCCGTGGCGCTCATTGAACAGGATGCCAACTATTAAGCGCGTGAAGATGAATCATAGATGCGGCGATTTTCACACCTGACATCTAGGTCCGTCATAGTTTGAGCTTTGTATCATAATGCAGGATCGACTGTGGTGTCACATCGCGATACAATTGCACAATATATTGCTGTTCCATGTCGTTGACAGTGCATACTCTTGCATCAAAGACGCTTGTGGTCTACACCTCAGGCTTGACGCATGGTGGCTACTTCTGCCTACATTCGAAGTCGTCATCACATCCACCAAGCGACAGATGCTCGACTCATGCACTATCGCCGGTGCTGGTGCCTGCATGTCCGTTCCTGGGTCCGTCGCTGTCACCGTTTTGAACCACGTCAACAAGCCGTTTCATGTTTGGTGTGTGATGCTTAGACATTAGTATTCTGTATTCTCTTGATCACCCAGAGGCGCTGAATCTCAGCTCCTCCACAAGGATTAACCTCATCAGAACCCATTCAACATGCCTCGCACCATCAACTTGCGTATGCGCAAATATTCTCCGCACATCTGTGCAGTTACTTCATTGAATTTCTGTAAGCTGGAGTCAGGTGAGAACACAAGGATGGTACTTTGAATGAGGTGAGAAGATGCATCAATGACAGATTGCTGAGGAACTGAAGCAGTGCGCTGTCGCTCAACTTGGCTCTCGCGCGCCCATTTTCCCAATGATTGCCATCACACAGGGAAAAGAAGACTAGTACTAGTTGGTGCGAGTATGGGTGGACCGTCTCAGAACTTCCGAGTCTGCTGAATTACTGCTTTGTGTCTACTGTTGTCACTACCAACATTAATGTACCCATACACAATCAAAAACCCTTCAGGAACTCGTCTGTGTGTATGTAGCGCTGAATTATTTGACCTGCAACTGGGCAATCTCGAATGGTACAGCTACATTTCTCTTTTTTGGTTTTTCTGGCCATGATGGCTGGCCCCGCCGAGTCTTAGAAACATCAAAAGTAACTGATATTGAAATATGAGGTCGTACCGCGATCAACAACAGATTTCCTGATGAAAAGAGCCAGGTGTACAAAAATTTGCTCGCTACGGATTACGCAAACACCCCGCATGTGAGTGACGGCCGTGCACAAAAGTTATAGGAAAGCGGTTTCATTCGCCTCAAGGGACTAGTGTTAAAAGCGAAAGTTGAATGAGAGCTATGTTTCATCGCATAAGGTCATCTTGGTAAGTTTTCTACCGAATGCTATACCAACATATGTCAGCAAAAAAGCATGCAGCGTACATCTGACGGCATGATATGCCGGCGACCACCTTGTTGTCACAACGTAACTCAGCACCTCGGCATTGACCGATAGGCTGTCTTCCCTACAATATGTCATGGAAAACTTGAGCCATGAACGCATGAATCAGAACTCCCACAGCGCATTGGATAGTCAGGTCCTCTGCCCACGAGGAGATAGTTCCGCTGCCAGATCTGATGATCGCCAGGCGAGAGAGGGGAAGAAGAAGGAGTAAACCGATAATGTGGCATGGGACCTGCAACAGTCCAGGCCGGCATTCACGCCAACGTCTGGTACAGCTTTTGGTGATCCGAGCAGGCACACCGGGAGAATGATGTTGTCAACTAGGGCCCGTTCAACTTGAGCTTTGTAGGCCGCCGGGCTAAGCGTGCTGTCATGTATGCGTCCCAATACGTCTTCTCTTCTGTCCTTGGCTGCGGGTCCAAGCTATTCCGGGCGCACAAGACGCACCAAACGTTTCGCTACTTGGTTGTTTCAGAACGGCACAATACACGTGGTCTGTTAACTTATAATGCCGAACCTTTCCTAATCGAGACATTAACAACTTTGTCAATAGTGAGTACGCAATGGAATCTCATGGAAACATATAGAAAGAGGGCAGTGGCACTCACCTGAGTCAGAGAATAAGATTCCAGTTCCACCGTTAACCTGTGTACGGGGTTTAAGCTGGGTTACCGAGATGGTGGCGGCTTCCAGGGGGGCCGATAGCTTGCATGTTATCGAAAACTTTGGTTCTGGCTCCAGCGCAAATCATAGGATTGTAAAAGTTACCAGCCAAGTTTCGTAGCGGCGTCTTCCTACATATGATATGTTCAATGCCGTGAAGACTGAGTACTCAGCTTTCCGGTGAGCCAAGTGTTCGGAGCCGTGTCTTGGGAAATTTCCCTTTGTTGACTCGGATGATCAAGCTTTAGTCGTAGTGCAAGCTTGCTGACAAAAAATCCGATCGGCGCAAAAACTCGTTTATAGGAGGATTATTCATTCATATTAATGTCCTTCGTTCCTTTCATTGGGTCCAATTCAACAATGCACTCACCTTGGCTATCTCTTGTTGTCACCGCACCTCTTCTCGCCATCAGCCTCTTCGAACCCCTATCAGTATTGGCAGTCCCTGTAGCGGACCTTGAATTATCGGAAACACATACAACTCCTCATGATCTAGTAGCATCATCAGGAGCCTTCAGACGTGACGATAATCATATGCATATGCATCATGGCGCACCTCTGACCGAGCTGAACGAGACCGCGATCCTTGAGTGGCATGCTCCCACTCCCCCCTCTTACTGGTCTATCGATATCGAGCATCGTGACCCATCAGTACCACGTTACCCTGCACTCATGGCCTTACACATCATTTTTATGACTCTTGCCTTCTTCGTCGCCCTGCCTGTTGGTGAGAAAACATCACGTACCTGCATCATGCACCTTCGCGCTAATGTCAAATGGGCTACACAGGTATAGCAATGCGTGCTTTAAAGCATTCATTGCATGGGCTCGTCGTAGTTGCATTCTACAGTTTATGCGCACTCGGGTGTGCATCCAGTACATTATACAGGAAGTTGACACCAGATATGTAAGCGAAACGTCACTCATTAATGATCGATCAATTATTCCGGCATTTTCCTGACTATCTCAACCGCAGGTATGAAGGATCATCCCATGCATCCCACGGTTACTTGGTTTTAATCCTAAGTTTATGCCTCTCTGCGCTCGACATCGTTCGCTTTCTCGTTCGTCTATATGCGTTCGTAAAGAACAGAAGCAAGTTCTCCTTGAAACCATTCTGGCAGAATGTTGTTCTGGGACGTAATGAAGTCTACAACCTCACAGCCAGGTACACTAGCTTGGACCCGGAGGAACCCTCAGAATTTGATGTAGCTGAAATGAAACCTCTGAGGGTCGCTGAAACTAGGGAGCCCCTCCATGTGCGACGGAATCAACCCATTGCAACTATCCAAACCCAAGATTTGGATGATCCCGACGACGATGAAACAGCACCATGGGTCAACAACTCTCGAAATAGTCAGGGGACAATCCATTATACGAAGTCGAGCTTATCGGAGAGGACCGTGTTTGAAGCTGATTCCCCGCAAGGTTCTAGGCACTCTGACGAAACCTTGCATGATTTCAAACTTCCCGGTCTTATCGAGCCACAAGCTCTTCTGATCCGCATTAGTCAAGGGGCATTTGTTACTCTTGAGAGAGCATTGGTCTTTGCAGCCTTTGGTATGACACTGTCAGGTATTGTCGTTTATACCGGTGGCTGTCGCGAAAGCTATGTAAACGGCTGTCTTGCGCATCTAATCAGTATGTAGGTCTCGTTCTATGCGGAGGCATTGAGACTTACTAGGTCCGCAGAGGGCGGCATCTTCTGGTGTTATGGCTTGGTTACCTTTGCTCGGTACCTTGGATCTTTCTCTGAGCTTGGGTGGGCTTGGAACATCTCACCGAGTGGTGAACATGTTTCTGCTGAATTCGTGGAGTCGTTGGTCATTTTTCTCTACGGCATCACCAACACTTGGATGGAACGCTTTGGCGTTCACTCTGGTGACCCTTATACCACCAAGCAAGTACAACATATAAGCATTGCTGTACGTCAATTTTCTCCTGCCTATTCGTATCTCACGATCATCTAGGTCATGTTTTGGTTTGCCGGACTCGTTGGGATGGGAATCGAGTCAAAACGTGTTCGCCGCTGGCTTGCAGCGTCTGCTGCAGCCGCTGTCGGCCCAGCTGAAGTGTCCGAGCCTCCAAGCTATCGTGGTAGCTTTAACCCTTTCCCTGCTCTCGTCATTGGTGTCACCGGTGCTGCAATGAGCGCTCACGCCCAGACTTATCTCTTCCAGGTACCATGGGAATTTTTCCACTCCGTTTCTAGCTAATCTGGCTTCGAAACAGGTACAGATACACGAAATATGGGGAGAGCTCCTTTTGGGATTCTCGGTTTTAAGGTGCTTAACCTACTTCTTTGTCTGGCTTGGCCCGCCCCGCTCTATCCTTCCATCTCGACCGCCGACAGAAGCTCTTGCAAGCTTCTTCCTTGCATGTGGTGGTTTGGTGTTTATATTCAGCACAGAAGAAGTCACAATTGCTGCTATGCGAAAAGGGCGTGATGGTATGCGATCATCTACCCCGACGTACCTCCGTACTGACGAACGAACTTGTCATAGATATGATGATGTTCCTTAACGTCGCCGTTGCTATCACATGCTTCGCGTTCTGCTGGACATTCTGCATCGTTGCGATGAAAGGATGGCTCAGATCCCGCAGCAGTCCTCGCTACCCGCTCTCAGCTCCATGATCAGAAGATGCTCTTGTTGTCCATGCTTACACGTAAATGCTATAATTCACCAGTGCTTTCAGTTTTCCTTTGTTCGCTCACATTTATAGTACTTGATAATCCTGCCATATCTACGGCTCTTACGACAATAATCCATAGAATCTCTTACACGGTTTCACGCTCATCTGTATAGTAACGAAATGTATTGATTGCACGCTTAGTGGGAAATCGTGAGCACGCTCTGTCAAAGCTGAAGCAATGACTTCGACCAGGATGGTTTCCTCTCCATGCAGGTGCTCGACTGCACCACTCAACCATGTAGTTCATCGACTCGGTATGAGTCTGATGGTTGAATTCGTGCATCACAATGGGTACTTTGCAGAACAACGATTATTTCCTAAGTAGCACATAGACTGGATCGCCAAGAACGACATTAGTCAAGTGTCGATATGAACCGGTTATCGAGAGCAGCAGTCCACCGAATGACGCGTAGGCCGTGCTACAGGACATGAGTGCGGGCCAGTAGAACTGCAAACATGCAAACGACTCACACAACGTCGGATGATCCAGTATCAAACTTATATACCTGTCAAATCAATGAGTACATTCAAACCCTTGTGCGATGGAAAAAGAAAAACATAGCCGTACCTTCCCATACATTACGTAGTCGTAATCTTCTTCTAAGCCTCTCCTTCCTTTGCCATCTGGTCTCCATACATCTCTGTCTTTGTCTTCTTCCCCATCTGCGGTGGGTGCACCACCGTCCCGTGACAGTGACGAAGCGAGGGCCATCGCGAAAGTGTCCCCGTTCGATACAGGGAAGAGCTCGATATTATAGTCAAGCGTCAAGTCCATGTCATAGTTCTTTGAACGAGCGTATAACCGAGATACTGGGTTCACATAGCGCAGGTCAATCACAGGTAAAAAGTGATGCGCATAGGCAAGTCCGGACCTCGATCGAATTTTTTGCCATCCTTGTCGATGGCATCAATCGTGAAAATATCGTCGAACACAATGCTAGATGAGGTGGAGGCCATAGCTAACAGTGAAGAAAGAGCCCGGACAAGTAGTCAAGATCTTTGGGTCGTCCATCTCCGAAAATTTCCAAAAAAAGTATGCGATCCCTAACTAAGGAGCTAGAAAAATCGATATCGAATCTATCTCAACAACTTGGATGAAGCAAGACTTGACACCACATAGATGAGGAATTTGACGAGGAATGCTGAGTCGGACTGACTGTAGAAAGCCAAATCAACAGTCACTTACACTGGTGCTTCTGGTAGACTCTTGCCCACTGCTCTAATTTCGGCATTTCGAGCAGATAACCATCATGTAAGACCTGAAATCAGGAGTGCATAATCTGCCAGAGCTCCCGTCCATATCCAAAATCCAGACCAACCACATCCTACGAATCCTTGCCAGCAACTTGGACGACTCTCAAGGTCTGTTTTCCAAAGGACGCGTGCAAGCTGCGCAGCCCCGAGGCCAAGGCCGAGATAGAATGGTACCCCATGAGCGTTGAGAACGCCTGCAAGACCAATCAAAGAGATGGATGATGCCGAGAGCGCGCCGAGGATTGGACGGGTCTGCTCTCCGAAAAGCAGGGCAGTGGAGTAGATACCAGCATTCACGTCGTCTGTTTTGTCCTGCGATAGTCAGAAAATAGAGTGCTTATTGTGCAGTAACACCCACTTGATGTGCATATATAGTATCATATACAAGAGTCCAACACACTCCGCCTGCGTATAGAGGGAGGCAAACACTCCAGTCGACTGCCCCGGCAACGGCAGACCAGCCCAGCAAAGCCCCCCAATTGAAGGTGAGTCCTGTGGCACCTTCATTTCAGTCCTGGAATACGACGGAAATTACTGACACGCACCTAGTACGACTTGCGGCCAGTAGGTGACTCTTTTCATGAGCGGGTATACGGTCACCAAAGACATAGATGAAGCTCCAAGGAGAATGCTTATGATTAAAAAGGTCAACAGCTGTGATAGCGGAGCGAAAGTAAAGACGCTGCGTACCTGTACCAATTCAGCTGTAACAAAACTCCCAATCCCACTGACAACTGTCCAGCTAAGAACACCAGCGCCTGTCTCTGGCTGATGACACCTTTCGCAAGTGGTCTACTTTGTGTTCTCTCTGCGATGACGCGTCAGTGCAAAGAAGACGCGATAATGGCGCGTGTTCTACTTACCTACGGCCTTGTCTAAATTTTTATCCCACATGTCGTTGATGGTGCAACCTGCACCCCGCATGACCACTGCTCCAAGTCCAAATAGGCTGAGATATGTCAGAGGTGTCGTTAATGGTGCCTCTAAGGCATACGAGGCCATGGTTATGGACCATGCTAGATGAAGGAAGGATGAGCTGGAAGAGCGCACAACTTCGAGTCGGTTTGACGCACCGCAAGGGTAAAACATCAATAAGGTCCCAATTGGTTTGTCTATTCTTATTAAGTTGAGGTAAGGTCGAATTTTTGGTGGAAGGCGGTCGACCCAGGTTGTTGGTGCAGCTGAAGCACTTGATGGAGTCCCAGATACATGGCGGCTCAACACCTTTGTTGATGAAGACAAGATGCCAGCTGTTTGAGACGTATGCCTACCAACCCATGGTATATTGTGCGCCGAGTTTCTCGTCAAACAGTGTCCTGCATACAACGTGGAAAATCGGGTTAGTACTGCGATAGTCATGCTGCACAAGTTCCCGGCTTGCAGGAGCACGTATGTTTGTATGTTCCTGAATCCTGACTCTCACGATAAGTACGTGGGGGAATACCATGATGATGGACCAGAGGTGTGGTTTCAAAACTGTAGACGGGCCAAAATTCAAATTCATGTATAGCAAGCCCTTTTAAATATTCGCCGTTATCTTGTGTACGTATTTGCTTAATGAGTGCATGCAATTTGAGAACCGGCTGACTGCAGAGTTCTCGAATAACACCGGTTTTAGTACGAATACGAGGATGGACAACGGAACGACCTTCTGACTTAACATGTCAATAGAAAGTCCACGCAGGCCACACAATTTCGCTATCCTATCCATACATTGAAAGGCGGCGGAGCGCCACTTCAACACCAAAAATACTGCGCGTACCATCGACAACAGGCTGCGTGCAGTTTGGAGGCACACGGATATCAGCCAACTGTTCCAAAACAGTATCGATCGACAAATCGCTCATGGAGGTCGAGAAAATGCTGCAAGATGGCATAACGCCAACGCCCTGCGTGCAACCGTGACGAACACTACTACCGGGGACCATCAACTTGAAGATACGTATTATACTCGCTCGACACGGTGCTGTCCTTGCTCATGTCGAGGGCCAACTCGAAGGAGAGGTAGGCTATGGACGGTCCTAGCCACTAGCAGTGCTTGCCTGCAGACTTGATATGGCGCTTTCGTTATCTCGCTCAGCGCTCAGGACCTACTGTTTCCCGGACGTCCGCACTAGTATTATGTACTAGTTGCATTGCTGTGAGCTATGTCAAAATCTCCTGCATGCTTAGCATATTAACAAGGCACCACAGTCTGCAACGACCTGACCGGTCAAATTTTCCATAGCTCGCAGTTATATCTGAACATTTTCTTTAGCGGGAAACTTCTGTCAGCCTGAATCGTCAGCCACTCGGTGTCGGTGGGGACTGTTCGAAAGAGTACAAGGTACATCCATGGAGATACGAGAGCTGATATGCAAAATGATGCCATAGGGTAATGCAACAAAGGTCATAAAATGATAAGGCGAGAAGTCTTCATTCACCACTCCTTGGCAAGTTTGAATGACCACTCCCAGTCTGAAAAGGTGGCAGGTCAGTTTTAAGAGACCTCGATCACAGCTTCTGCGAACACAGACCTGCGTATACTTCTCCATCGTCGTCCACAACGCGGCTTCTGACATTGTACGATCCTGAACGTGCCACAAGCCCCGACGGCGATTCTTCTACGTCAAAATTCTTCGTGTATGGTTCTGCCTGGGGACCGTATGACCCAAGCATTTGCTCGAGCTTGTCCACTATAGAGTGATCAACATCAAGGTCCCAAACTACATGAAAATGTACTAATACCTTTGATACCAGCGCGTTTGACTAGCTGGATGTATCGTACACCCTTCGCAACAAGGTTTTAAGACCCGTCAAGCCAAAACGAAGACAGGCCACTCACAGATATAATTGAGTGGTTCACCTTGAACGTGATCCGAACGCTGTGACAATATCAGCCTCATAGCATCGGAGAACAACTTCAGAGCACTTACTTATATTCTACACCCTCCTTGATGATGATTGGGTTCTTCTTCGTATCGGCCAACTTGGCAGAGTCATTGAGATCAAAGACAAGCGTCTTGCCAGGAGGCAGTGTGGGTGAATCAAGCTCTAGGGTCAGAACTGTCACCTATACGACCAATCAACTTCAGGACAGACAGTACTGGGAGTAACATACTCTTGGTCCTGAGGTGTCCCCAGTTGACACTCCAGCAGTGATACCAAGACTGGCTTTCCACCGTGCCAAGCTCTCGTCTTCTGCGTCCAGTTGGGCGTATTCATCTGCTGTTTTTGCAGTGCCAGTTGGCTTGTAGCCTGGGATAGATTCAATAAGCTGCTCATTCTGTTTGCTCTACATTCAATGCTTGCCCACCTGGGGTGGCAGAGGGCTTCAGATCATCCTGATCATCGTTCTACAGTAACACACCAATCAGCGAGCGATCGCCATCAAGGTATATGCTCGAAACATACAGAAGACATCTCAAACGTGAAACTCGAGGCTTAGAAGGAGATGGACAGGTCGATGAGTGGTACTGGGCAGTTTCCAAGGGCCTTTTGCAATTGGCAGTGCCAAGATTCTTGTTCAAGCACTTATCTACTGATCTGATTTCACACGCCTGGTGCCTAGGCTGGCTCATGATCCAAACAATTGACCTTCGCAATTGTGAGATAGGTTCAAGCTTCGAGTCTCGACCAAGGCTTTCAAAGGCTTTCATTGCGGTTTGAACGAGACCAATGGGGTGGAGGATCAACGTTTCAACGCCTCCATTTGGTGGCAGCCAAAACGCAGGACACAAAGGGAGATGTAAGTGCTAAGGGTCTTGGCCACATGATTTTGGGGTCACGCCATACTCGGACCTTGTCCACTCCGTGTACGTATATGTTCTAGAGCATGCGGTGCTGAAGAGTGCTGGGCGTTCCGGACTACATAAATAATAATCCACATCCGATTGATACAATAACATGTAAAAAACCACACATGAACTACAACGTTGTAAGCAAATAAAGCAGACAGAGGATAACGCGATAAAACGTCAAGCTAACATCTTCGTACATGCCATGTGGCACATAAAATAAACCAATAACAGGCAAACAAGAGTGGAAGGACGCTAAGGTGATAGATGAGGCGAAACATCATGCATACTTTCTGAATATGAAATATTCCAGTTAGTACTTGGTTGTTATCTGACGTTTTGACACGAACCGCCTTTGAACCAACATTTGCCCTTGCTTAGGTGGAAACACTTCGGACCGTTAGGGCACACATGTCCCCAGCAGCAACGCTCGCCGTATGGGCACTGGAGACCTATAATGACCAAAAACTTAATGAGGCATCGAGGTCAAGTTGAATAAACGTGCCATTTTTTAGAAAATTACAAGGAGCTTTTTTGGCGTTAGCAGCAAGAGTGGCCAGCTGATCTGGCGTCAGGATATAGTCATGCGAATATTTACAAGCCCCCTGGTACCGAAACGTTCATTAGTAAAGTGAAGAAGACTCGTAGTTCATACATACGCCTTTAGTGCAGGACATGAGATAGAATTCATTACAAGGTGGGGGAGAATCTGTGTAAGCGGTAAAATGTCGAGTGTCTAGGCACTGACCACAGCTAATCAACACAATCTTAACTCACGCTTATGAAGGGGCTGGGAGCTATCAGCATCGAAAAATAAACCACAACGAGAAGGTGGACTCACCAAGGTTGGGTCCACAAGCCTTCCCGTCGCAGAAGCACTCATACTGTGTGGCGAATGCGGTGTCGGTAATCCACCAGATGTCAGTGTAGGACTGAGACCGTTCATATTCAATGGTGGAGGTGTCCTCAATGGTGGCGAGAGTCTCTGGTTGATAAACAATGTGTCCACAGTCAGAATTGGTAAACGGTGTTTCTGCGCGTAGTTTGGGCTCGCGCGGCAGGCTTCCAAGAAAGCGACTTTTCCCAAAAGTCCGTCATTTTGCAGCGCAGCAATAGTTGGAGCGTAAGTGTTTTCCTGACCACCTGCGTTACGTCAAGTTGTGTAAACGGCATCGAGCGTTGACGAGACTTGCCGGCAAAAAAAATTCTCTGAGTTTGAGGGAAGCGCAAGTAGGTTTGTAGATACTCTAAATGGGGGTAAGTGATAGATAACATTGATCAACACATGCCGACCTGTAATTTTCGTGAAGGTGGCGTCTTTGCCGTATCCGACATCAACCAAAACAAACCTGGGCGAAGACTGGCTGAAGCCCATAATGAAGGCATCAAGTTGCTCCGGGCTACATAATTTATGTCGCTCGAGAACGCTCGCCAGTATGGCCTTGTTAAAGTAAATTGTTACCCAAAATGACAGTCGACCGAGAACGTGAACATCCTCGCTGGTTAAATAATCTGCGACTGCCCTCGTCAATTGTTGTGCGGCCTGGCGGCCACCTTCGTGACCTTGCCTAAGGAGCAAGTCATTAAATATACAAGCATCCCCGTCAATGACGCAGAGGACGAGTAGACTCTGGCTCTGTTTGAAATTACAGATAAATTTAGACAGCCACTTGCCCTAGCGGGAATTAGACTGACCATGAAGGTTTCCATTGACGCCACCTGAGAATTAAGAGAAGCCAACCGCCCTTTGAGAGCCTTAGCCTCTCTGTCTGCACCTTCAATAGCAGTCGCATGGGCTTGTTTCCAGACCGCAAGCTCGACCTCGAGTTCAGCTAAGCGATTCTCGAGGTCAGCATTCCGTTGAATTGTGGCCGATGACAGGTCTGCAAAACAGTATTAGACTACAAGCTGATTCCTGAGATGAGAGGTACTCACTCAGAAGTCTACCCAGCGTCTCATCCCTTGTGAAAATTTTCAAATTAATATTTCAGCTGGTGCACTAGATGGCTTACCAGAGCTGCTGGCTGGCCTCTGTTACCGGAGACGTTGCCATATGGGTTGGCGAACGGGGGTACAGAGTGGATATTAGATATTAGGGAAACACAGGAATGCTAACAAAATTCGGCAGCCTTTTAAACCAACGAAGCCACGATGTTTACCTGCAAAGGGGCTAGGCCGTTAATCAGGCTAGATCGCGGGATTCATGCAATTGGAGAAGCCCGCAGATAAGGCAATCATATCGTGAACAGCTTGAAGGTCATATTGTCATTCGAAGAAGTTGAGACTGATTTGGCTAAGTCACGCGAACCAAGTGAATGTGCCGCACTCTTCGTTGAGAATCACTTGTACGTGCTCAAGTACGTCAATGGAAAAATTCCATCAGCATTACGTTGTTAATTTTTCTCCGCGATGATGATTTGAATGTTAGGAAAAACTGAACCTTGATGTCAAAACGTGACTGCATGCATATATGTACAAATAGACATTCCCGAGGCCGAGCCCATCTCCGGCAGGTCAGCCTCGATTGGTCATAACAAGAAACTTTATCATAATAAAATGGAAGGTGCGCGTTAATTCAGTTGTTCGGTTGCCGGTGCATACCAGCTGAAGCGAAGATGAAGGTGGTTTTATGTGCAGAGTGACGGTATGCCTCACCAGCAACGAATTTACATTTTCCTAACTTCAGGAAATAACAAGTTGTACCGTTCGGGCACGAATGTCCATAAACGCATTCATCTCCAAATGGACAATCTCCGCCTGACGAACAGTCGGTATTATGCTCAACAAATTGTCAGCGGAGAAAACACACCTTCGTTTGTAACTTTACAAGGCGTCTTCTTTGCATTCTCTCCTAGTTCTTGATAGTGTTCCGCTTCTAAGATATACTCATGCGAATATTTACAACTTGGACCGTGCCTGCATTGCGCCAAATAGAATAAAGTGCACGGAGGCGGGACATCTGTGTGAAAATATCAATATTAGATCACTACAATAGACGCTAGTGAACATACGCTTAGATAATGCCTAGCAGTAATTCAGTCAGGACAGCGTCAAGAAACATAGGAGGGCAATGCGACTCACCACCTGGTTATTGATACGTCGCTGCTTCGGTGGAGAAGGAGGGGTCAATCGCGGCAAGCCAAGCGGAATCTCGCTCGCTTCGCTGGACTCGCTACTACCCTCACTTGGCTCCATTGATGGGCAGTTAAACCGCGTCGACATTGTTAACGGTGTTTGCAACACTGATTTATAACTTGGGAGACTTCCGCGCCGAGCCATTGCTCCCTGGCCTTCTCCAGAAAAAGAGCTGATACCAGGCGGAGTAGTAGGAGGACAGACAGGTTGCGGTGCGCTCAATTTTGGAGTAGTAGGCGCCAGTCCGAGCAGGGGACCGGTCGCGATGGCATTATAAGACGGTGCCACGAGTTTAGTCGTCATAAACAGCTCGGGTATTCTGAGCTCAGGTAGCTGAAGCGCTCTGATATCAATCGCTACATCAGAATAACCAGGCATGAGAACAAGTTTATGACCAAGGCTCGAAGTGACAACAGAACGAAGGTTGTGCACATAGCCATTATCATGGCATCCTGTTTGGCGAAAATCAGTAAACCGCTTGAAGTGTGGAGGTGGGACTTACCACCGAAGAATATTTTGTAAGTGTGTGGAAGACGGATGTTATCTTCAAGATGGACTAGATATCCAGAAATAACTTCAATGCATCCGTGCAGATCATCACACAAGTCAACTCACCTTTAAGCTTTGCATCAGCAGCTTCTTTGCTACCTCCCACGTCAACCATGATAAATCGCTCAGCAGCTTGATTGAAGCCCATCATAAAGTCATCAAACTTGGCTCTAACCGTCGTCAGACCCACTCGGCCGAACGTCTCTAGAAGGCCGCGTTTGTTGTAGAAGAGATACACCCAAAGTTGGTATTGTTCAAATCCTTCAGTGGTAGATATGAATTGGCGAACGCGTTCGGTCAGTTTTCTCGCAGCAGCTAGGCCACCTTCCTGGCCTTGGCTCATCAATTCCTGGGTGAAGATCATTCCGTCGCCGTCAAGCAAACATATAACTCGTTTTTCCAGTCCCTATAACATGGTTTTCAGTCATAACGATAGTCGTCTGGGTCAACGGTAAACGCACTTTTAAGGTGTTCAACTCGTGTAACAATTCATTTTTCTCTTCCGCTTGTCTTCGAAGCCGGTCTTCCATAGCAGAGTATGCTGTTTGAAAAACACCCAAATTTGTTGAAAGTTCGCGAATACGATTCTCATAGAGGCTTTCGTTTTGCAGTAATATCTGTATTTCACCTGTCGAACATGTTGTGGTCCTGGGATGATTACTATTTCACGTCAGAGGTGCATACCAGAAAGGTGCTCGAGGGTGTTTCGTCTGCATGGCTGTCATTCAGTATTCCACATAGTAAGGTAACCGAGTACAGACATTGCATGCTGCTGAATGGCTCCATGATTTTCGTTTGCGTTCATCATGCTGGTGAGGCAGGAGAGAAGTCGTGCCGCGCCACAGTTTATAAACTCAACCCCTTTGACGTGATCCTCGCCTTTGTGGTATGTTGGTCAAGGCGATGCATGTGCTGTGTGCCATCAAGATTCACTTCTAAAGTTGAGGAGCAGAAAGCTCAAACGGTTCACTCGTGGCATTTTGCGCCTTTGCATGCAGGCATTCATGAACTCGCTTCTTGTTCACACGTACGTCTGGGCCCATGCATGCGAAGATGTGACCACAACGAAGCAAGATTTCTGGCCATCGGCATCGACACAAATGGGCCATACTTAACACCTAGCAGAGATGCAATGACCTGATTGATAATGATATGTCGTACACTAGTACGGTGCAAGATTGCCATGAGTTCATTGGCGATCAATAATTTATAAGGAAGGCCTAGGCGGTGACCCGTTTTGTTTGCAAGGTAACGGCAAACAGGGACACCGAACCTACAGCTGAGTTCATTTTCAAGGTCAGGTGGAGCCTGATCATGAAACCTTGGACACACCAAAGAAGGGTCCACGATAGATGTTGGGGGACATCTTCGAAATCAATACATCCCTAAAATGTCTCGGGATATGTATCGCCTCTGTCCATAGCTTTTCTGACCGAGTCTCAGATGTCAAGTACTTCAATCACAGTCTGTCATTGATCCTTACCTTCTTTACTCCCGTGGATCTTGCGTGGATCAATCGCTGGCTCATGTGACCATGAGATCACATGTCTGCGACAAGTCCTGAAGCTCAAGATGGACAAAATCAGCCTTACGACAACACGACTATACCTGCTGTTGGATAATTACCGACATTGAACTCTGTCTGCAACCTCCTTGATGCATCAAATATTAGCCATTCTGAACCATCCGGCTACCTGATTAAACCTCATCAAAGATCATCAAATGCAGTCTTGATTGTGGTGAGATCCGGTTTTTCGAATGTGGAGAGCGAACTGCGCCTACCACAAAAAGGAATTCCTAGAATTGGTACTGCGCTGCACCATGATTGAATGCAGAAATTCTCCGCGGAGTTTCTAGTTGTTACTAGCTGAAGATGGCTACCTTCGCCGTCTTGTTTCATCAGATCATGAGAGAAGTCAAGGAGGTGCACGATTCGCTGATATCAGCTCCATTTGCAATATTAAAGCTGATTAGGTCGTGAGGCTGCAACCTTCTAAAGTTCTTGTTCCAAAGTTCTGTTCTTTTCCTCCATATTGGCGTACGCTAACTCGAAAATTGTAAAATGAAGACCTAGAGTTGCTTCTCTCAAGACCTGTAGTTTGGAACCTTTTGAAACAATTTTTGCACGGATAATAGATACGTACCTAACCTATGCAACCTCGAGGCTTGACTGTGGATTTGGTTAAAACATACCTAGCACTCGGCGCAGAATCCAAAGAATGTAGGCGAGTAATGAGGAGTATCGAGCAAGCTTGTTGGAGAATGAGAGGTGGTTGGTCAAGAAGAAAATTGCTTACCGCTAGCTACTCATTAACCGGCATCTGATATGGTAATATCTCGAGTATTAGTGGACGGCAGCCAATCAGATGCACTGAGATGATGAGTATTCAAATGAGCGAACGAGATGATAAGGACCAGCAAGTAACGAACACTAGTATGATAGACCAAGTCTGCATGGTGAAGACGCGCTCGTGGGAACTGCTTACGTAGACGCGTCGTCGATCATTTGGTTCGCGTCAAGTACTTGGTCTTGTTCATCTTTCTTCTGTTTGCGGCATCCTTCATTGCTCCGGCAGCTGGTACATTCTCTACTTGTTGTACTTACATACTCTATTTTCATGACCGACCTATACTCATCTCTCGGAGTCTCGCCCAGAAAGAAACGTCAACTCATTAGTTCAGACGACGAGACCACTTTCACTCCGAAAAAGCTTCGAACTGCGTGAGCATGTTTAATCTACTGTCACTGTGCTATTATGCTCATAGACGACATACTTTAAGGCCACCTACACCACCCTCTTCTGCGCATAAGGGCAGCAAACCAAATCACACGTCCTTGCCGCATCACCTTTCACGACTCAACACAATTCAAACAGCCCTGCAGCATGCATTATCACATGCACTGGCAACATGCTCTGTGTCTCCATCCTCTGACACGGGCATGGTGCGAAACGTGCTCAATCATATGTCCATCATGACTTATTCTGGGCTCACAACCAAATTCGACACCGATGATCTTAAGCGACTTTGCTGGATATGGGAGTGGGATGCAAAGTCGCTTCCTGACCTTACAAGTAAACACAAGGCAATTGATGACGAGAACCCCTTCTTAGATAGCCCTGCACAGCCTCCTGCCAAAGACTGGACGCGAGGCGCGATGGGATTGGTTATCAGCCCAACTACCCATTATTCCAAGAGCGCAGGCAAACGCGTACCTGTATACGGTATTGGTATCGAGGTTGAAATCGATATTGACAAAGATATGGGGGGTGGGATGGCTGCAGTAGCTCGATGGACCGCCGATGCAGAAAAGCGGCGAACTGAGTTTCGAAATAAACTTGAGCGCTGGGTCAAGGTTTGTCCCCCAGATCTCTGCTACTATTACATACGTTAACTCCAATTATAGCTTCACCCTGATGTCCCGAATGTGCCAAATGTCCCTTTGGCAGATCTCTCAGAGCTTGTCACTGCGGTCAAGGCGTCCTCGCTGACTCGAGTGCTTGCTTCTGCCTCGCCTAAGGGTGCCTCAATTCTTAAGAATATGGTTCCGTCCAGTCCGACTTCACCGGTGAAATCGCCTGTGAAGCGTTCAACCGCCGCACACGAGTTTACGGTCCCCTTCCCTGCGATCAGTCCTTCAAAGTCAGCACTTGCATCATCATCGAAATCTTCCATCGCATTTCCTCAGACACCATCGCGCCAGAGGCGCGCAGATCTTTTGATCGGCCTTCTAACCCCAAAGACTCCTGCGCGTCATAGATGCGAAAGCGATGCATCGGACTCTCTGCCTATGACACCTGTCCATCAACGCGGTGCCAACGCGGAGACTGCACCATCAACTCCGAGTACATCTCGTCGTCAAGCTTTGTATGATCGAATTCGTCAGAAGTCTGTTACCACCAGTCCAACCAAAGCAAAGAGCGCGGAAGTTGTGGGAGGAAAGCTCTCTAGAGAGCAAATCCAGAAAATGGGTCAGGAAGAGATTCGACGGCGCTGCCTGCTCGGTCGCTTGGGTGGTGTCGCTGAGAGTGCCTGGATGTTAGTACCATGCACCTGACCTCTTCTTTTATTGATTTTTTGTTTAACAGGCTTTTCTCGGCTCCTGTCGGTCCGACTTCCACGCCAACTATTCGCAAACGCAAAGCTCTTCCGACCTCTGAGGTCGCGGCTGCGATCATTAAATCTTCCCCTGTGCCGATGTCAACTCTAGAAGCAAATGAGTCACTAAGACTACTCACGAGGCTTTGTCCATTCTTTCTGCGACCTCTGGAAATCGCCGGCAAAGAGTGGCTTGAGATGCCATCCACGTCATCGGCGCAAGACTCTGACACTAGCACTGTCGACAAGTCGATACCTCCTAGTCCAACCAAGAAGTCCACTGGCAGCAAACTCGTCCCACCACCCAGTCCAGGTATTCGTTCTACTTCCACTATAGGTCCACCGCCCAGTCCCGGCTCTCGTGCGAAATTCGACAGCGCCGAAATACTCACCCGAAGTCCCAGGCGAGTTAAGCGTGAAATAGGCGGCCTCAGAGAAGTGAGGGAAATTATTCGGAGAGAGCTGGAGCTGCAGGATTAGCTCCAGATCAGTGCTCATCTTAACTCTATTTCTAACTTTATCAGTGCGATACCTCCCCTCCAACATTCATATCATTGCTTGTCTACCATCACTTTGTTAACTTTTAGCTATGTATGTAGATAACTTTTTGATGTATTACTTGCTTCATCCCCTCTGGAAGAACCTCCGGGAGATGTTATGACTATTGTTCGTCGACCAGAAACTCTGCCCATACCTCGTCCATGTGGTATAAAATACTCATATGCCCCCCATCAACGTGTTTTATCCGTGCATTCTTGTAATTGGCAGCAAGATAGTATGCATAAGCCACAGGAGACATGTCATCGTCCTTGCTCGCTGTGAGCAAGACAGGCGGACGAGAATGTTCCTCGTCTAATGCGTCAGGCCGAAAACCCCAATCTGAGTGCAGAAGAGGTGGCGTAAGCATAAAGCCTACCCAGGACTTGGAGGTGCTCTTCAGGACATTCTCAGCCATTTTCCGCACATAATCATCTGGTACCATCCCGCGTTCCTCACTCCACTTTGCAAACTCCTCGCGCTCCGCCTGATCCATCCTGTCAAAAACCGTTTCCCGCAACGATGCCTCCGCGCCTTCTATGGTCTTCAACTTTCTCGCCAGCACGAATTTTATTATATGACTGAGAAGGTTGAATGGCATGTGGTACCCGATGGGACCAGGTAGAATATATTGCGTCCACGTCATGTATTTGGCGTAATCGGTATGGTACCGAAACGGGCTGAAGGCGCCTAATAGCAGCAGGCCTGCTATGCACCGGCCGAATGGAAACTTGTCATATGGTGCACCATACAAGATCTGTGCAGCGACTGTGCCGAGCGAGCCCCCTGCGATGTACAGTTTAATGTTATGGTCGTCAAAATCCAGGTATAGGTGGGACAACAGCGCGGTCATGTCGCTCGTGAGGCAGTCGCGGTATAGTGTTGACGGGGGAGGTGGTGACGTGTTGCCCCATCCAGGCATGGTGGGCGAGATGAAATGGACGTTCTTGCTCAGAAAGACATGAGATGTCTGCGACGCATCCCCGACGGTGAAAAAGCCATGCATGTAAAGAACGACAGTCTTGCTGGATAAGTTTCCTGCTTCTGCGTATGCCAAGGTACGCCCATCGCGCAGAGGAAGGAATCTCTCCTCAGAGCTTATGTCTGTAGACATGAATCAAGAATGGTATAATATCGGTGCAGACGAAGATCGCAGCGTGACGACCAGTAGTATATATGCCCTATCAGCAGACCGCCTGTGTAAATCGGAAAAGGAAACTCTTCTTGCCGCAGCACAGGGACTTGGACAAGCGCTGGGTATTTTCGATACGTAGAGTCGATACGCAGCGGACAGAGCTGCGCACGTAACAGGCGCCGCTTAGGAAGTGCATATGCCATAGATTGTCTGAGATTCTCGTGTTCACAGTTGTCATCCATTTATACTGCGTATTCCTAGACCGCCAAGCACATCTTTCTCGTGGACTGCGGTCGACCGTTTCTAAGGAAACAAGGCAGCTTTCATGAATGCAACTGCAAGTGACAAATTAATCAATGAAGTAACATCGTTCTGAAATTCTTGCAGCCTCACAAAGGAACGAGCTTGATTTGCCTCGAGGTGAGCCAAGTAGCTATACGCCATGGCTCCACCGTGGTGCCGTCACAAAGTTGAGCATACCGTCTTAGACCAAGATGACACGCTCATTTTTGTGACACGACTCTTGTGAGACAGTCTTTTGAGCTGAAGAAAGCGTCAGTAGTGTGGCTAAAGCTAAGTTAGCTGGGGCTGTATAGTTTACACGCAAATAAGCGAGGTGGCGCTTCCAATTTCAAATTACCCTTGCTCCAGGCTCTGTCTTTTCCCATGGCCAGCCAGATCAGAAAGTACAGGGCAGAACTTCCATAATGTGAAGCGTGACTGCATCTTGCCGCAGCACACGGAACTCAATTCGACTTTCCGGGCTGCCATCCTCTTTCACATTTGTTTCGCGGATATGGATGTAACTTGCATCTCAAGAATCTGCTAGCCTCATCCCTGGAGATTGTTGTCGCTTTGTCTCGAGTAGGAAATTCCCTGAGACCAAGTTGGGCGTATGGCACTGCCAGTGGCCTTCGCTGCCATTGGTCAGAATATCCCAGCTGGTGCCTCATTCACTTTGGACGGTGTGGAGCCTGAGCTTGAATTGGTGAGCCCCCCTCCCCAACCTGTTTCCTTCGCCAAGATTACGCCACAAAATCGAGAGCACTGTGCGCATTGCAAGATAATACTTGGCTCCATTTGGTGTATACCTTTCCGACATGTAATGAATTGTATCTCTCATTCTATTGCCTCAGTGCCTGGACGATGGAAAGTTTGATTATATGCAACCAGAGGGCCTTGATATTTGATCAGGCATAATACCTATTTTCCCAGCTAATGCTACAAAATGGATGATGTGGTAGCAGTGATAAAAAACTTATCTCATTTCCAACTCTGCTCTGATATCTTTCTCAAACTTCGCGCAATCAATCACTGTGCCTTCTCTCCTGCTTGTCTCGGCAGCAAATACGGTGAGATGACTCTTGAGCACCTCAGAGATATCAGTCCCCAGTAGCTCTTGGTTGTTCGTGCGCACGGCCTCGACAAAAGTACGCATAAGACCCACGTCTCCGCCTCCGTGACCACTACCTTCTTTTTTCGGGTGGTGCGTCGTCTTATGACCCGTGTGGAAGTCGGTGACAGTAAAACTATTCATATCGCCAACTATCTCCCCGTGCGTGAAGTGCAATCGTGTCTGACGTTCGCAAATCAAGGAAGTGTATGCCACCATTGTAAACGAGACGGTGGCTCCTGATGAATATTCGATATTCACAACCTAGAAATATAGCATCAAGACGCCGCTTTGCAAGGGAAAATCGGGCTGTACCTGATGATCACAGACATCATTATCGCTTTCGTACACACATTGTCCATAAGGCCCATTGCGTAGAGCGTCGGTGATATTCTCTATATCTGGTATTCCATCTACAATAGTGCTGGCTGGCCAGTGGGTGTTTCCGCGAGAAACAGGTTCCAGGTATACTGCGAGGTTTCACTCAGTTTATATGAAACGAGGTTAGAGACGATCTACTTTTCTTTGCACTGTATGGGCAATCTTGTTCTACTGAACATTCTAAGCAGCGAGTTGCAGCGCCTGCTGCGCGAGGCTTCTTCTCCTTCCGAAAATGCTGTAAAGAGCCGAACGAAGAGACTCGCGTCGGCAACGCAGGGGAAAGCCAGTGACAAAGGATGTCTATGTCACTTGCGTACCCGATCAATCAAGATGTCATGCGCGGCGAATCAGTGTTTACTCACTGGCAGCTCTTGGTCATGAGAGAAAATGAACTCTCAGATTCTTTCTTCCAATGGCCGCGAACGTAAGAGTGAGCAAAGTGAAAGTAACCAACGGGCTCGACGTGAACCACGTTGATCAGCTCACCCAACTGTCCTGAATGGACCACTTCGGTGACGGCCTTGTTGTAAGGGGAATAGCGCAAGACTACCGCACGTGAAGTTTGAACGTTGTAGCACGACTAGTGATAAGGCTCACCATGACCAATTCCGCAAATGATGCCAGCGTTCTTGACTGCCTTCTCCATTTCAAGGCAGTCTTGCAGATTTGTAGCCATGGGTTTCTCGCAAAGTATATGGTATCCCTGGGCTGCGAATGCCACTACCACTTCACAATGCATGTGGTCTTGCACCGCAACTATTACTGCGTCTGCAAGACGCTTCCCGATAGTTTGAATGGTATCGGCGGAAGCCTTTAAGAGCTCCTGCCAATCACTGAACACAAGGGTCCGATCGAGCTTGTGATTACGGGCAAATATATCGCGAGTGTTTGGCCTTGGTTCTGCAATAGCGACTACCTTGCACTTCTTCGGGTGATCAAGGGCATATTCAGTATATCTCTGCGTACAAGCGTCAGTGCACCGCGAGGAGGCACACAATTGATTTCATACAGTCCCTCTCTGACCACAGCCGATGATGGCCAACGTGACAGGCTCATTTGGCAGGGATGTCATGATCGCAGAAGGGGGTTCGTTGGACCTGACGCCCGAGCGAGACCACAAGGTCTTTATAGGGCGCAAACGCGACATCATGTGGTCTCTTGATGGTCCGATATCGAATGCTATATCTGAACACAACCAAGCGCAGGAGCTTATCGCTATACCATGAATGATATCAGCATTCTGTTGTGCGTTGCAGCAGTGGTCGCAGTCGTGTATTACAAGGGTGTTCACAGTGATTTTGGCGAGTTTACTCAGGGTTGTCACAGTCGGGAGCGCTTCAGTGCATGCCTCGCTTACTTCCACGTCTGCTCAAAATCTTGCAAGATGCCTCAGAGCCCAACACGTTGAGCAATGGATATACACGCTACAAAAAGCGTGTTTCTATGAAAAATACTATTCCAGGAACGCCCACTTTCACTTCAGAAGGCAGGACTCACTCAATATTGTTGGACGACGCGAACCCAATCACCGAAGGTCATCTTTATAACAGACACAAGTCACTACCACCCAGGGTTCGTCTTGTGAAGCCACTGCAAGATACCGGTGCGCATGACCATCCGCGGGAAATGACGGACGAGGAATGCGAATGGTGGTCCAGCCCTTACCGTGCGTTGGGTACACCGTTTCTACTCTCTGTCTACTTATCGCTCTGATGCAGTCAGAATGCTTGCTTCGCCGTTGCGAGAATGTCAGATAACGCGTAAAAAGCTACCCTGTGGTGCGTGAATAGCAAAGGTTTATGTTGCACTTCCTTCATCCCATTCCTAGACTTTCTCATCCGTCTGGCACCTGTGCGCCTCCCAGCCTCTCAGGGAGTATGCGAACAACAGATACTAGTTACAGATGGTATCGAGCATCCTAAGTTCAAGCCTCGTCGATCCACGCCTGCATGTTATATTGTATGCTGGAAAGATGCCGTTCCATATGCAACTTCTAGGAGTGCGTGACGAGTTGCAACTTCATTGCAGCCATAACTGAGCTCTTCTCAGTCCCACTGCGCAAATTCTCGCAAAACTTGATCGTGCAACCTTTGCTATCAGCGCGCATCGGTTACCAGCTCCGTTTACGAGTCCTGCAAGAACTGGAACTTCTTACTAAAAGGCTTGCCGCAGGCCCGTTGGATGATCCCGCGGCGACAGTGCTTCGAAGACTCACCCGTTCTGAATGGAACGTAGTTCGGCAGACTAACTCGATACCTCACAAAGATGCGGTGGCCCTGATGGTAGTACCCCCAGTCAACCAGAACCCAGAAACAAAGGAGAAGCCACAGCCCTCCGCACAGATGGCCATCGCTGATGTTGTGCAAATCGATACTAACAGCTCAGCAACCTCATCACGGCGTCTTCCCCCTCTCTCCATTCTCCATCCAGTCACGGATGATGATCTAGGTTCTTCTCTTCTTCCAGATGCGCAAGCTCCTCTCTACCACGGTTTGTCTTTATTTCCTGCCCGACCACAGCGAGCAGCACTGCATAAAGCACTCTGCAAGCTACTTGACGTAGAGCGTAGAGCACGGTCGCGCGCACTTCCGGCCTCTGGCTTTTCCGAAAATGAAAAGTCACCACGAGCCCGTGGTGATGCCAAGGGAAGCCATGCGTTCCTACTATGTTCGAATCAGCATACTGCCAAACGGGCAGATGTTGTACCTTTAGCAATAGCTCTCTGGAGATTGCGGATGTGGGAGGGGCAAGCTTACGGTTCCACTGTTGAGACGAGTCACTGGGAGGTCGACGCAGGATGGAGATCATCCTGGGCAGAGAAGATGTACTGAACCACCATACCGATAGCACTCAATATGACATTTAATTACAAGAAATATTAATCAGGATGACCACTTGCAAGACAAATGTTGTGATTTTACATCAGTCTACACATCTATTCAATAGCCATTGCTGCCGGTTCCACGCTCTTCTTCACTGGCCTTGACAGTACCTCACGACCTTCCCAGAACTTGGGGAGTTTGTCGCCGGGAACAAAGAGCCGCTCGACACCATCCTCCGTGATTACGCACATGCGGATGACACCTCCTGATGAGCCATCTCTTGCCATCGCAAGCGAAAGCGCTATGCGAAAAAAATTATATCAACAGCAGGAAAGTGATGTTGGGTGGTTAAGCACGCACTATTTTTCACGAATTCGACGGTCTCATCCCGCCCCCACCCATCCTGGTATGTTGCATCACAGTAACCGTATACATATGTTGAGCCAGAGCCTGATAACATGATATAATTGACTCAGTGTCGAACATGAACCTTTCAAGACGCACCTCCAATGGCCCACGGCTGGCGGAAAAGCCCTCCGCCCAGAGGAATGTTATATACACTTGGACCGACCTCCTTGTCCCACCCAGCAACGATGATACCCGCGCTGAGAGCATCCTTGTTATCATAGCAAATATCCTGGAACATGCCCGCAGCCGACGAAACTGGAGGATGGGCGCCGTGGATTTGCCTACGAGTGCTCAGTGGAAACAAATTTGTGACTGTTGATAGATGAAGACCTACGTATATAGCTGCAAGTAGTTGTGTACTATATCTGCGACTGCTTGCGTGTCAGCTGCAGATCCTGAGCGACAGCAGTATATCCGATCGTGGACATGGGTGAGCTTGTCTGTTACACGGTTGGCCTGGGGTTTGCAGAGATGAGGAAACAAATAGTGAGTAGGTAAGAGTGCGCACGATGTAGCTTCCAGTCGTCGTACGACTGTCGGCGCCGATGACGACGCCCTTGTCGAACTGAACTGCCATGATAGAGGTCTGCCAATGGTGTACATTAACGATGATAGAATGATGATTAGAACGTTCATACCCCGAGATTGACCTCTCCGCTCTTGAGTCTGTTCATGTCAATGCGATCCATACTGTTATCGACGTCGTTGTGTGTTATGAAGAAGTGTAATGACAATCTTGAGTTGTGGCTGAGTAGCTAAGTAGCGCTGACGCGTCTGGACGCGTGTTCTCTACTTGTTTCTGATTTCCATTCATCGAACTTGCAACTTCTGTTATAGTCACAAATGGCTTCTCAGAAATTGGCTACATTATACAACGAGCTACAGCGTGCATTCGATGCGCGACCGTCAGACTTGAAGAAATGCGGGACACTGCTAGCTCAGCTAAAGGTGTGGCCAAGTTGATCTAAAGCTTTGTGCATGTCTGACTTCACGCTAGGTTGGCTTGATAGAAGCCGGTCTATTGATCCCCCAAGGAGAAACAAATCTCCATGACTTGGTCGTTGCTCGTACGTTAGAACGGTCTGTGATGTGCTATGTGATGACAATGGGACAGGTGACATCCTCGAAATCGGGGTCTTCTGGAGTATAAGAGCGAAAGACGTTCCTTCGTTCGATAGATATTTCTCCCAACTGCACACTTTCTACACGGACTTCAGGTATGCACAACTATCCTACCCAGATTACTTTCTCACATGCATCAGGTCAAGTCTCCCTCCGTCGAAGCGTGAATTCGCAGTCCGGGGCTTGAACCTCATTCGTTTGCTCACACAAAACCGCATCGCTGATTTCCACACTACCCTTGAATCACTTCCACTTCCTGCCGATGAGATTAACACAAATCCATACATCAGACATCCAGTGAATCTCGAGCGCTGGCTCATGGAGGGTAGCTACAGCAAAGTGTGGAATGCCCGTGAGGAAGCACCGGCAGAAGAGTACAAATTCTTTGTCGACAGTCTTATGGGCACCATTCGGTGAGCTATTTTCTGCTGGTCTGATCAACGTCACTGAGAATTATTGCCAGGAATGAGATTGCCAGTTGCGAGGAATCGGCATACGATAGCCTTCCTTTGAAGGACGCCGCAACTCTGCTATTCTTTCCCTCACAGTCTGGGTTATTGGTATTCGCCCAACAGGTAGGCACTTCAAGGTCCCCGGAATCATCCTATGCTGATCTTGTTTACAGCGCGGTTGGCAGGTAGACCTGACGGCTGGCATGATAACGTTTGCAAAGAAAAATGATGAACAAGTAGAGATTCCAACGCAGAAGCTCATTGCAGCAAACCTGGCATACGCTCGTGAGCTAGAGCAAATTGTATAGACACCACTTCATGTTTGGCTCCTTCACTTTCCGGGCGAATCGAGGAACGATGATATCAAACGTGCTATTATCCGAAATTATTCAAAAGTCTCTAATGCCTCCTGAGCTTTCCTCTTTGCCTCTTCAAGGAGGTCGGCTGGTACAGGCAAATGAAGGTTGTTGGACTCAACACCAACCCAAGTCATCTCCAGTTCAAATTCCTTCTCTTTGTTGTCGTCATGGACGAGGTATATTCTGCGGTGAAGTATTTAGGTGGGAAATGTGAACACAAGTGCCAGACAGCGTACATTCTCGCAGCCTCCGTAACAGCTTCACGCATCGACAGTTCAGATAGCTTCAGCTTCTCCAGCTCGGTTTTGGCCAGCTGACGGCCTTTGCCGACCGCTGCACCATGATATCCCTGGCATATTATCAGTATCGAGATATTTTGACCTGCAATGTGCTCACTAGGCAGACGCCACTAGGCTCAACTATATACAGTGAAGGACCACTCTTGTCGATGCCACCAAAGATCGTACTGACGCCGAACGGGCGGACAGACGAGTACAACGTATAGGTTTGAGCATTCCAGCTTACAGAATCTGACAGGGCCTGGTGATAGTGAATGAGTATAACATATTGGCGTTCCAGCATAATCTGATCACCTTCACAGTCAAAGGTTCTCTCCACTGTTTTCGAGCCTGAGCCCCCGAGTCACGAGCCAGCTGTGATATTTTCCTGCCATCGGCGAGAAGGCCGGCAGATGCCTTGAGCGGACATCGTACATAAGTTCATTGCGAGATTTACCAGGGCACTCACCATGCCTATATGTTTGTCTACTGTATGAATGCGTCGGTTAGCTCCTGGGACAAGGAGCTTGGAGTGTACGAGCTTCTCCACCGCAAGGACGACACCATCCTTGACGCGCAGCCCGATCGCAGTGCTGAATTAACGGAGCAGACCATTAGCAACAATTAAAGTACTGAAAGAAAGCTTAGATACCCTGAGTTCTCTACCGCCTTGTTGGCGTATTCGACCTGAGATGATAAGATTGAGAATACCGTACTGTTGGACGAGTTTCAACGATTTCACCTGGAATATACGGCCATCTGGTGAGTATGTGCTAGCTGAAAGATCGTAACCTGTCCCGATGGAAGTCATGGTAGTAAGTATGTAAGTGAGCTGTCCTGGTACGCGCAAGCTTGAGCGCGTCAGCCCGTGGGAAATAATAACCGAACCGGGTCAGACGCGTTTCTGAGCCGGTTCGACTTCACTCCCTCTTCACCGACGCGACTAGTATTAGCCATGACCCAAGATGATTGGAGCACAATGCTTGAAGGACATCCAATATTTACGCTTCCAAAAGCCTATGGAGGTCCAACAGGACAGTCAGAGGAGTCACTGGAACTTTCTACGAATACATTGAAGAAATCTATGCTTGAGGGGCCTTCGACGGATGGGCTCCCCCTTTCAGGACGTCGTCAGGTTATGGTTCTCAAGGATTCTGATCTAATCGTAGCTGCTGGATGCGAACTGAGAATAACGTCTCTTTCGGACTCTAAGCTTGGGAGGAGTACGAACAAGTCTTTCAAAGTACGTGCCAATTCTGACAATCCTAGTCGTGGCTCACTGCTAGAGAAGATCTTGAATACACCAGATATTCAATTTGGAATAAACCAACTTGCACTGAATCCGAGCGGGAAGCTCATAGCTGTAGCGGGAGCATACCAGGTTGCAGTTGTGGTCCTCCCTCGCGCTGGGTATTCCAAGCTTGTGCCTTCTTCTGTGGACTGCAAGTAAGCGAGCGATTTTTCTATGAATATTAGCATCTGATCCTTTTGAAAAGGTCAATCCAAGTAGGATCTTTCTACCATCATTCGCATGCGTCTGCCCCCATAGCCAAGATTGAATGGCACCCATGGGGCGAAGCAGGATCCACTCTTATGGTCATGACTGTCGATGGGAAACTGAGGTTGGGTTCACAACGATGAGTTTATTATATTTACTAACCTTTTTCAGAGAGTATGACATTTCGGTTGATACTGAAGAGCCCCAACAAGTTCTGTCCTTTGTTCCCGAGAAGAAGACCTCAAAGTCATATCTGGCTGAAGATCCTGCCGAGCGCGAGGTCGCATCATTCACTCTGGGAAAGGGAAAAGCAGATTGGGGCCCACTCACCGTCTATGCTGTTATGAGGTCAGGAGACACATATGCTATATGCCCCTACATGCCGCAAAACGCGTGAGTCTCATCATTTCCTGTGTGACAACTACTTCTTAATCAATTTACTTCTTAATCGATTTCAAGATCTGTTCCATCGTCTTACGTCCACGCACTCGAGTGTTTCATCTCCGCTAAACAAGAGTTCCTATCTCAGGGAACATCCAGTGCAATATCAGCCCTTTCAACGCTCTACAACTATCAACGGAAATATGTCACAGCTCTGCTGAAGCAACTTCCACCTGGGACTGTGTACCCGGCAATCTCTCGCTCTTTCTCTATGCACCCTCCTACGACCATCAAAAGTCAACCGATGCGTCAGGGGCCTTTCCTCCTCCAGCCTTCGCCTCGTTCATTGGAAGACAGTGAAGGCGGTGATGCAACGGACATCGCGTATCTTTCTTTCCTCCGTGATGATGATGATGAAGACGCAGGCGCGACTGAGCGTCTTGGAATTGTTATTGTCACTTATCAGGACGGTAAAGTTGATGTGTGTTTAGACGTAGAGAAAGTTGAAGCACGGTGGGAGAGCAAACAGGTGTGTCATTGAATTTGTTGTGTCATTGCTGCTTATGGACGCGACTCCAGGATAACTCTCAGGACTTGCCTATGCTAGCAGTTTACGAGTGCATAGACTTGGGCTTGATTTCGATGCTGAAACAAACCTCTCCTTTGTCATCAGGCACACCCATTCTCGACCTCCTTCAGGCAAACCACCCTGTCTTATTGATGGATCCGATACATGACGATACTGTCTACGTCTACCATGCTTTTGGCGTCCATGTCCTTGATTTCGGAGACCTGCTGCAATGTCTCACCAACGGACTCCGCGTAGATGACGACGACGGTGTTGCATTGAATCAAGCATTGCAAAAGTCGGCAGGCACGCACGTCGTGCCCTTGCTGAATACCTATTCAGTGGACCGAAGGTATGTGGATGAATAAGCTTCTACGATCTTAATGATTCACTGGTCAATAGATGCTCGAATCCGATTATTGCTATATCTGTACCAAACGACGTCTATCTCTCGTACAGTATTCTAATCCTTACCTCCGTCTTTCGTTTTACATCCTTCCCACTCAACCTTCGCACCGATCTCTCTCTCTCTCGGACAGCTCCTAATCTTCCTGACAAAAATAAAACTTCTGAAACAGAGGATTTTCTTGCGCCCATTGAAGGACCATTGGCGTACATCTCGCTTTTAGGCACGGAGCCCTTCGTGCCACCTCCAACGCTTTCGCGTCCCTCTGGACTGCCCAGCAATCCTCGCATCACGGTTGGGACCCCAAACACCAAAACAGAATTCGTGCTCACTCCTGAAACATTGCGATATCTGGGTTCAACAATTGAAGGCTTGACGTCGCAGATCCACGAAATTATCCTCGCATATAAAGCCACAGAAGTACGAGCCGAACTGCAGGCGAAGGAATTTGAGCGACAGCAACAGAAATGTGGTGCGATGCTTGATCTCATTGAACAGCTGGGCGGCTCGCGGAATAGCGAAGTTAAAGAGCGGCTCGAGAGAATACGGGAAGCATACAGGGCGCTGGCATCGAGGCTGGATCACAGACTGCAGACGCTTATGCAACAAGCGTCGCCGAAGCTTAGTGAATATGAGACGAAGTGGTTTGAAGAATTACGGAGAATGAAGGCAGAGATCGCTGGGGCGGGCAGGTACGATGAGCAATCGCTCGCTGCGCGAACATCACTGGTAATCATTTTACCCCTGGGTTTGGATCTCAGCTGACTATTGTGTAGCTTAAACGCGAGTACGACCGAATGTTGCCTAGTTTGAATGACATGGCTGCGAAGGAGGCAGAGCGCAAGAAGCATTTGAGTGAGAGTGGACTAGGATTATCCCAGGCTTTCCAATTTGGAGAGCGATCGAACCAAGAGTATGCACTTCGTGTTGAATTAGCTGCTTCTAAACTAACTCGATTATCATAGGCGCACCAAGATAGCCGAGCTGGAGGAAGAGATCATCAAAATGGCATCAAAATTGGAACTTTCGATGTCTCGCCCGCCATCGCTGCGGGAAATCTCCAAGAACGAATAGTTAGCACTTCTATATCTTTGATCTGTTGTACTTTTTGTCTGCTTGAGAGGATAAGGAATCACTGTAGGATACCGCTAGGGTTATCAACTGCTCAGTACCCAAATCTTTGTCACAATATACGAGGATTATTATTATTGGCAACTACGAGATACCCGGCTAGCATCTTTTCGTCTTTATCATACAATCAATAAAAAAAATCAACCGTGTCTCTGCCGTTTCATAACTCTCTCGGAGAGTCTGTGAAAAACGAGGAATATTTAGAGCCAGACGGTAATAGACACATTGTACAGTTATGACCATAACTTCTTGAGGATATCATATACAAGCAGTGCCATACTAATCAACATCCGGAACTATGGGTTTTTCCTGCGGCTGCTTCTCGAAATATGCAGCACTGCTCAATAGAAAATTGTATTGCTTGCCATCACCCTGAATGGAATCAGGCCTCAGTAATCTGACACAACAAAGCGCTGATGTGACTCACGATGAACGAGGAGGGGAAGCCGGGATCGAAAGGAATGATACTCTCCAAATACTTCACGTGTTCGGGTGTTAGCGAAATCGCCAGAGACTCCAAGTTGGCCTCCAGCTGCTCCACTTTTCGCCCACCAATAATCGGGAACACATAGGGCGTTTTCTGCATAAGATATGCAATGGCCACAGATGTGATGTGTTTAGCACCGACTTCTTTCGCGACCTTCTCTAATGCTGCGCTCATTGCCCTCTCCGTCTCGTTGCGTTCCCAGCTGGGATTCATGAGCATGCGACCTTTCTCTCCTGTTTGTCGGCGGCGCTCCTCTTCTTCGTCGGTTCGAAATTTTCCACCGGCAAGAACATTCCAAGGGGCAAGTGCAAGACCTGTGCAGGGGTGAACGTAAGTGGAGGCACCAGATAGCGAGCAACAAGGTTGAACTACCTTCGGAGCGGGCCATTGGTATGATATCTCGTTCAAAGTCCCGAAGCATGACGTTCCAAGCACCTTGGTAGATCACAAACGGTGATTTTCCATGATCCCGAGCATACTGGTTCGCTTTGGACACGACCCAAGCAGGAGAGTCTGAGATGCCCTGCCAGCGATACATGTTAACATATATGTTCATGTCAGCATAGAAATGGGGACACTCACGAGATACAACACTTTCCCTTGTTGCACCAGTACATGCAGACCGTTCATGACCTCTTCGACGGAAGTATCCCAGTCCCACCAGTGCACGTACAGAATGTCGATATATGAAGTCCTCAGTTTCTTCAAACTGGCCTCAACGCTGAGGTGCATCGATTTGACGTTGTTACCGGTATATAATGTCTTCTGGCGAATGGCATCGTTACCGCGCTGGTAATTGATCGTGTACTTTGATAAATGTGCGTCAGCAGCGAACTATATTCATAGAATGCCACAGTTACTTTTGTAGCGATCACGAGCTGGTCACGGATCCCCCGTTCCTCTGCCCACTCTCCGATGAATTCTTCAGAACTTTGATCTTGACTGAGAGGTTGTGAAGTGTGTCAGCGACGAGGACGAATTCAACATGACTGCGACACAATACCCACTAGTTATTGGCAGTGTCGATGAAGTTACCCCCAGCATCGTAGAAGGCGTCGAGGAGCTTGAATGAGGATATCTTGTCCATACTACCCATCCCAAGTTTCTCCCACTTGTCACCGATGCTCATGGCACCGAGCTGTAAGGGTGAGACATGAACGCCCGCATGAGGGGATAATACGCGATATCGCGCTAGCCTAGATAATGGCTTTGGCACGTGTGCCCACAACGAGGTCATTTCGTTAGATATGGTTGTAAAGTTGAGTGGGTTGGAGTTGTTGAAATGCAGTTTGCGTGAAGGTTGGCAGCATTTTATACATCTTGACACCTCGTCAGCACCATCGCGTGATCACTGTGATGCCAGAGAAACGCGTCAGTTGTCTGAGTAAGTTGTAGTGCACAAACTTCAAGTCAGCCTACGTAGTGTACCGGCAGGTTCTGAGTGAGCTAATTATCCGCGATTTCGGAACCGAGTCACTCACGGGTTTGTGTGTAAGACAGGCTGATACAGTACATAATAGAGGTGTCATGGCAGACGAGTCAAGAATATAAAATATATATATTCTTTGTGGCGTGCGCACATGGCAGTCACACGAATTTCGAAATCGCAACCCGTAATCGATCGATCGAGATCACTGATCAGGTTAAATTAAAAAACACAAGTAATTCTCAAGGTATGAGTAGCACGTTACATAGCGCGACTACTGTCGGGGCTGCACAACACCATACCCGGAACTCTACACAACGCTGTATCTCCCCGCCACTGCAGTGGGATTCCGCATCTCTGCTTGCAGTGCTGCAGCAGACGCTTCGATGAGCAAACGTTTGATCTCTCGCACAGCTTGTTCCACCTAAAAGTGTGTCAATTCAGTGGACTACACCAAGTAACGTGTAATCGAACGCGCTCACCCTGTATTCCTCGTTGGACTCGATCAGCAGATGGAGTTTGGGTGGTCCTTCCAGAGGAGGCTCTTTCCCAGATTCGTAATATATACCTGTTACAATCAGGTCAAATTAAGATGCTGAACAATCATGCTTCTGGACAAACCTTTGTTGGTGACTGATGCGCCGGTCATATCAATAAGCTAACCAAGAGAAAAATATGAGTATATGGCCACACGTAACTATGAACAACGCACCTGAACCATAGTTTCCTTGTTGGTGACCCTCCATCTGGCCTTCTGCGGGTAATCATTGATGGGTATGATCGCGTGGAAGTCTGTAGAGTCGAGGTTGGCTTTTCTGAGACCACTTTCGTCTGCCTGGATTTGAGACTGCAGGACCAGTCTCGTCGCCTTCATCTGTGCGTTCAGCTTTGCCATGACACTCAGGGCTTGCTTATGCGCGGCTGTGTCTTTCCCTGCACGCGCAGCAGCATCCTGGGCAGCTTTGAGTGACGCCTGAAGCTTCTCTTCTTCCTTTGCATGTGCGAGTCGCCTAGCAGCTGCAGCTGCTCCGGCCACTCCAAGTAACCCCTTCGAAGAATCAGGAGCGGGACCACGCTTGATTTCGACTTTGAAGTTGCCGAATGTCATATCATCACCAGCAGTCGTGGGAGTCTTGACAGCAGCTTCATCAACTTTTTCTTCTTCGGGTTCACCGTAAGCTTTCCGCTCAGCCCGATCTTTAGCTTCACGCTCTTTATCGAGCCTGTCAAGACCTTTTCCACCAAATCCTGAGCCTGCAACTTGCGCCTTCCCAGACTTGACCTTTTCCAAGAAGCCTAACGACGTAATAAGCATAGATCACAAATACAATAGAGCGAAACATACCGTTGGCCAGCTCCTCAAGCTCACTTGGAACAGCTGCATTACTTGCCTTAAGCGCACGGTAGATATCAACAGAGTACCTTTCTTGTTCAGGAGTTATGAATGTAACACATGTGCCTTTATTGCCTGCTCTCCCCGTACGACCAGCGCGATGAACATAGTCTTCCATATGATTAGGTGCGTCGAAGTTGATAACAAGCTTAAGCTGTTTGACATCCAAACCACGAGCAGCGACAGAAGTAGCGATGACGATGGGAACAACTCCAGATTTAAAGTCGGCAATGGTAGAATCACGATCAACCTGATCCTTGCCTCCATGCAGGGACATGCATAAGTACCCTTTGCGCATAAGGTCGCGGAGCAAGTTATCAGCAGCTTCCTGTCTGTCGACAAAGATGAGAGTACGGCACTCAGGGTCTTCGTTATACATCTGCCCCAGGATATCCAAGAGGCGATTGAACTTGGACTCCTCTGGACGCACTTCAACAATCTGCTCGATCTCCGCGGCGACTACAGAACGCCCGCCAACAGTGATTTCAAGAGGTTTCTGTAGAATTTTCCTTGCGAGAGAGTCCATTTGTTTCGGGAACGTCGCAGAGAAGAGCACCGTTTGGCGGTCAGGTCGAATGTTGTTGATGATCTTCATGACTTGAGGTTCGAAACCCATGTCAAACATCCGATCAGCTTCATCAAGAACCACATAAGTGACACGCTTAAGGTTTGTCACCCGGCCAGAATTGGCAGTGAGGAGGTCGATCATGCGACCAGGTGTGCATACAATGATCTCAGCACCCTTCTTCAGCTCAGCAATCTGGTCCTTGATTGGAGAACCACCATATGCGCACACAGCCTAATGATGCGGAATAAGATATTGTGGATAGATCAAAGATACGAGAAACATACACGAAGGTTCATCACCCGTAAGAATGGCTTGCATTCTCGATGGATTTGCACTGCCAGCTCGCGGGTAGGAGTCATGACAATCGCAAGAGGGCCTTCCATCTGCTCCAGGGGCCGCTGGTCCTTGATGTGACGGAACAAAGGGAGGAGAAATGCTATGGTCTTCCCTGAACCTGTCTTTGCCACACCAATGACGTCGCGACCAGACATAATTGCAGGGATAGCTTGAGCTTGAATGGCAGTTGGTGCAATATAATTGAGGCGTTTGATAACATCCAAACTTTGAAATGCGTCAGTCAATGACGAAACTTCGAAAAGTAGTTAATACCTACCAGCTGGCTGGAAGACCAAAATGACTCCACTTGGTCACTGGCCGCGGGCAGTCAATACCACGGATTTTGATGCCGTCAAGTTCTAGTCGCAAGAGGTCAGCTTCCTCGTCTGTCATAGCAGCAATGTCTGGAGGGGGAACATAAAATTCCTTCCGGAAGGGCTCATATTTGACACGAGAATGGTCGACAGCGGCGATATCTTTCTTCTTTGCCTTCTTTGCCGCAAGAGCAAGTATGTCTTCAGGATTAAGATCGGTAGTATCAAGCTCGTCTTCCACAACAACGGCTTCCATGACTTCATCCTCCCCATCATCGCCCATACGTTCGGCGAGAGGTTTAGAAGATATGCCTTTGACGCCGATCATCTTTTTCAAGTCTTCCTCGTCGACCTTCTTCACTTCAACCGACACACTCGACATGAAGGCATCGAGGGGGTCGACCGCGTCCTCGTCCTCTTCCATGGCGTCTGCAGCCTTGCTTTTGATCGCTTGGTCCATCCTGTTCGCCTCTTCGTCATCGTCGTCAACTTCCAGGTCGCCAACACTAGCTTCTCCATCCGCCATTGTCATGTCGACAGCAGGCATTTCGCCAAGGGTCTCAAGCTTCCGTTGCTTGGTCTCGTCTGAATCGTCCATGGCCGCAGCACCCTTTGACACTTTTAGAACTTCAGGTTTGAGAGGAAGACCTTTGAGCCCAAGACCTGTGAGGGCCGCACGGTTCAGAGAAGTCCCAGGTTTGGCGGACGTTGCGGTCGGGGCAGAAACTAATAAGGCATGGATCAAGTGGTGTGAAATCATGAAGTGCCACTCATATTAAAAATGTGCTCACCTGGTGCAGATTTGCCTGCAAGAGCCATAGCTTTGACTTTAGCCTCATCAAGAGCCTTCTTAGCTTCGCGGTCCTTCTTCCAAGCCTCCAGCTTTGCCCTCTTCGCCTTGAGTTTCTCATCTTCAGGTGGGGGAGTTTGCGTGGCACCTACGGCTACTTGAGGTTTTGGAGGAGGGGAAAGCGGTCGTCTTTCCCGGTCTTTGCGGTCCGTTGAACGGGAGCGCCGACGGTCGTCTCTTCTATCATCCCTGTAACTGTCACGGCGCCTATCGTCTCTGTGTCTATCATCGCGATACCTGTCGTCACGATAGCGGTCTTTATCACGTTCCCTATCCCGGTCTCTCGGGCGATCACGTTCTCTATTATCACGTTCGTCGTCGTATCTCCTGCTAGGTCTTTGGGTATTTCGCCTGGTCGGCGAAGGAGACCGGGGTGAACGATGAGATGGTCTTACCCTTTTGTTTGACGTGTCCGGGGAATATGATCTATCCCTGCGCACCATGCTTGTATACAACGACTTGGTGGTGGTGGTCTTGAAGTAAGTGTTGTTTGGTCTTGTTAGACCTGGAAGGTCTTGACTAATAAGTAAGCTATAGTAGGATGACTATCTTGCTTGCTACGCTACCTGCAGGACTCAATTCATGGCTAACAACGTATTGGATCCTTCTGCACTTGTTGGACTTCTTCTTAACTTACTACCACCGACAAACAAGACATTAACGTCTCCCCATGATGGTTTGGCAGCGCTTGTTCACACAGCCTTTTCTGCACTCTCGTTTCGTTTAATTGCAACGGATGACACATCTTCCGCAAAGGAACACCCTAACAATGTTCTTCCTGATGACTGGAACACAAAAGGACTGGTAGATCGTACCTTTCGTTACAGGCATGACCAAAGCGGTCTTGAGTTTGTTGTGAAGGTCATCAAGCTCGGTCAGCGTACATTGATCAGCGCCATTGCTGTCGAAGTGCGTCAGATTTTATGGATTCGAAAAACAGTATTTAATTTAGAATTTTAGAGTGACAAGTCTGCGTCTCTGGATGTTGCAACAAACGACTTTGTCTCACCATCGTTTTACCCCTATGACGCAGCCAAGTCGGACACCCCGCCGCTGGTCCATGGCTTCATTTCGTCCAACCGTATAACAGATTTCATATCTCAGCTCAAACTCAAGATAATACAGAAACTCATTCCGGGGCTGCGCAAAGAAGGATATATCGAAGAAACTGAGGATTCATCCAGCAATGCTGGATCCGCTCCCCGCGCGGAGATTCCCCCTCCTGCCCCTCCACGACCAGACTCGCCACCTTACCCAGATGACCCATACTTCTTACCCCCCGGTTTGCGACCTCGTAATCCGCTGGAGATCGGTCGTCAAGACCTTGATCCTTTCGGTGGCATCAACCCTTTCCAGCCTCCTTCACTATTCCCCGGCAATGGAGGAGACGGAATGTTTGTTGGTCCGGGTCACCCTATATTTGGTATGAGAGGTAACCGGGGACAGGAGATGCGAGGACCATGGGGTGGGGACGGCTATCTCCCTCCGATGGGAGCCCCACCGGGTGCTCGTTTTGATCCGATAGGACCAAATCCTGGTCCCTTCAACCCAAGTTTCAATGGGAGACCCCGGCGTGGACCTCCGGGAAGCGGGAATGTAAGAGATCCTGATAATGACGAGTTTATGCCCCCTGGAGCCGTGAGTGTGCACTGCAGTAAAACAATTGTAGATGCTTACCTTGAAACAGGGAGATATGTTTATGTGAGAACGAACGATGTGAAAAGTTGTGAATTTTGTATAACTGATGAATTATAACGAGCATTGAGAGTGATAACTACGATTGCAAGAATATAAGATGTATTTGTACCCTCTTAGCTAGCCGCTTGTACAACGTTGTAGCTCGCTGTGTATCACTGCGCGCTGGTAAGCCCAAAACGGCAACCTGCTGGATTAAGCGGGCTATAAAGCCGGTCGCTCATAATAGCAGCAATAAGTATCACCCTTAGCTCTAGCACACCATGCCCCCCCTTCGCGCACACAGCCCCCAATCCCCTACATCTCCAATGCGTCCCAAGAAGACCGCAGTGCTCCCAGGCTTTCGCCCACCTCCAAAGCCAAAGCCCAAATCCATCTCCCAAATGACTGTGCGAGAACTACATGACCAGCACGATCAGAATGCAAAACTCTTAAACTCGTCGTACGTGGATTTTTTACCCCAGGTATTTCGTGATGATGGTAGCCTCCGTGGCTCCACTATTAACCTTGTGCGCATTTCTTTTTAGATCAGCCTGCACGTCTGCTCTCGGACAACGTCTTTCGGCTGAGCAAGCAGCCATCGAATCTCGCCTGCTCGAACTCGAGGGCATCGAAGAAATTCGAAACGGTCTTAAGAAGACCAACATTAATGCCGACGAGATCATGATTGTCGACCAGCCGCGTATGCCTCGTGTAATCGATGCCAAGCACAGGGCATTGTCCCGCTACGTAAGTATGTACGTTTGTGTTACTTTCGATCACTCATATGTCCTCGGGATACTCCAGGCACCCATCGCGCCAAATGGTGCTCAACAGGTCGGCTCCCTGAGTTTACAGGAAGCAGTAGAGCTGGAGCAACGCGCCCATGCTCAAGACGCAGCGAGACAACAACGATCAGATGAACGCAAGAAGCGCATAGGACTCCCAATCAGAGGGGAAGTCCTTTCCAAAGCAGAAATGGATGCACGAATGTGGGCCTTCATGTGAGCGTTTTATTATTCATCAATCTTCATACTAGTTCTAAATAAACCGAATAGCAACTACAAGCCGACGGACTCTGACCTCGAAGACGATATGGATGAAGACGATGAAGACGACGAAGACCCGTCAACATGGTTTGAAGACGATCAGGATGATGGTGTCAAAGGTCAAGACATTATTGAACCGGACTACGAAGAAATCTCCAGCATTATCCGGGTTGATGAAAGCAGAGCGCGATACAGCACCTTTTTCGAACCTAGGGATGGTGATTGACATGCGGCATAGCATAATACCTATAATGTGTGAGATATGCGCTATTTTACTTGTAGTCGTATTATGTGACGTTAGTTAGAGAAAGCGTACATCAGTGTGCATGATTCGAGAGTATAAACAGCGGAACTGAGTAATGAACAAATACCCTATGCGTCATTCCTCTACCGCGCGTGAATGGGGCAGCTTCTACCTCTCTTCAGCCACGAGGACAAACAAGCTATATTGAGCATTGATCAGCATGGCTGTTTGTTTATTGAAGGCAAGTGCTCACGGACCATTGTGGAAACTACAAAAGCAGCTGAGCCTCGCTACAACTGCGCCTGCATTTACAACGTCAGTCAGTTGACTCTTGTGGGGTATACAACATGCATACCCTCTGTAAACTCCTCTAGACAAATGACACCTGTGAAACCATAACCACTCCCATCATTGTCATTGTCACACAAGAGTAATAAAACAAAACTTGCATTCGACACCCAGAAGTGCGCTCTCGCCAGGTAACTTATAAACCAGATATTTAGCAGCTTGAGGTGTTGTCTCAGCGTCTCCTTCTAGACAAATCTTCACGTGGGCTTCTTGTTCTGCCGGTAGTCCAAGATCTGCAAGGCTAGTGCTGCACACAGGGCACCTGGGATCATCGCGATCATCACCAACAAGTTATGGTGCCACCAAGGACCCTGACTTACTCTGCAAGGTCGCTTAGTTGCGAACTAGACTCCTGCCTGTGAAGCTGTCCAGGGGCCATGAGCCTTCTTTGATCGACCACGATTCTTTCCATGGTGGACGAGGTGGAGCCTGAGAATCTGGTGGGGAGACTGGCATTGATTTCATCGTGACACCCTTGACAGACACGCTGAGTTGAAGAGGATGCTGCGGATTCCGGAAACACAGGGTCACGAACAATAACGGACGGATCGAGAAGTGCTCGATGAGAAGAGCAACGGTCACAAAAAATCCGACCACACTTGCGACAATGCTAACGAAAGGTCAGATGACGTGAAAAATAAGTGCGGGTAATGGTTAATCTTACATGCTAGGAAAGATCACAAATCAATCATTAGAAAAAACCGACGTGGTAGGACTTACTCTTCTTAAAAGAAATCCGAACCGTCGATGACAGTCATTACAATTGGACACCATATCGTCTCTTTCCCATTGCGCATGGACTTGGTAAGGCGTCGGGGCAGTCCACCTGGGACTTAAAACTTTCTGAGGTGCTTCGTGGGTGGGCACACGGAAGTCAGGTGCCTGAGAGAGGTGAGGAGTCAAATCCGTAGGTGGATGAGAAACAGAATTTGGGTGGATAGGCGCGCCTGAAGGCGTATAACCAGGGTAGCGGAACTCCTCTTCGTCCTCATCGTCGTCTTCCACATAATCATCATCTGGGCCGGAGATGAGCCATCTTTGATTACCAGCCGCGAGTCGGCGACGCTCGAGCTCTCTGCTGTAGGTGTTGAGCAGGACTTCAGCCTGAGTTTTTCGTTCTGTATCACCATCGCCTTGGATACCATCTGATTAAATGATGCGTCAAGAGGCTGCATCAAAAGGCTTACTAAGAATACCCTGTCGCAATTCAGTGGTTGCACGCTCAAGTTTGGCAATAGCACGCCTTGCTTCGACAGCAGATAAAGTCTCCTCGCCGACGACAGCATCCCGTTGAGTTCCGACTAGATACCAAGCACGAGAGACGTAGTCCTGGGCCGATGACAGTCTTGTGGAGGTCATCGCTCCGAGTTCCTGTCCTTCGCCTTCTCCAAAATCGCCCTGGTCGTTCTCGGTAAATGGGACGAGAGAGCCGTCAGATGTAAGATGGTACATGGCTCCATCCGGCTCCTGGAACGGTAGAGGTGGGATGTCAAGCCTACGACGCATCACGCGGACCCAGCGTCTGCGTCTTACCCACGTCGGAGCGCGTGCGGCCACAGATGCGGAGGTCACTGAGCTACTGCTGCTTGTACGGCTGTGGCTTCTGGAAGGAGTGCCCAAGCTAGCTGTCATGAGTCCACTCCCGCTCAGTAAACGCTGAAGCTGAGGGGGTGGTTCGGCAATCCAGGCTTCATCGAGTGAGGAAAAGTCCTCTGCATATTCCCAGGCTGCCTCCACATCAACGCCAGGGTAATCCAATGTCCAATCAGACCTAAAAGACGTTTTAGTAAGTAAGCTCATCAAAAATAACCTGCTGGTCCTTACAGCCAGAAGTGACTTCTTTCGGAGTCCTCAACGGCGGGCCTGTCCCTGGAGCCTGTTTCTGGTAATGACCAAGGATCTCCGATGAGTGGAAGCTGGACACCACTTCGCCAGGCAGCAACTAGTGTGGCGCCCGCGTCATTTGGGGAAGGCAGTTTCAACTCGAATAGTGCACGCCGACCCGGCCTACCAAGGCCATAGTGTGACCACTTCGGCTTCCCACCGGACACTGCCAATGTTTTCAGCCGTGCGTCCAGACGCTGGTTCTCGTAAAGGATCAAGGGGACGGTCGTGTGCACCGCGAGAGGGTTGTACGGGACAGTCGTTCTGCGCCATCGCTCTGCTTCTGATTTTTGTAGGACCTGGGGGGACTTAAGGAAACGCTTACAACAATTAAGAAAGTGGACACACCTCACATATCCATACCTCGAATACTGCAGCAGCAGCGTCATATGCAGTCTCACCCCAAATATTCCGGACAAGAGGATTTGCTTCTTGCTTTGTAAGTAGATATATGACGATAGGCGAGTGTCCTTTTGACGCTGCATTCACTAGCAAAGCATTTGAGATAGTATGGAACAAAAAAATTTGAGCACGTACTAAGAGGAGTCCATCCACCTTTACTCCGAACGTCCACACTAGAAATACCTCCATGCTCACATAACCACCTCACAATATCAAGATAGCCCTAACATCCAATAAGCGTAAGATTCTTCGCAGGAAAATTTACAATGGTGTTATCGGTAAGACATACTTTTGAACAGGCGTTGTGGAGAGCTGTCCAGCCGTCAGCATCGCGAGCATTCACGTCTGCTCTATCCGGTAGTAAATATGTGATAATTGGTAGGTGGCCATGAAGAGCGGCTTTGTGTAAAGCAGTCTTGTGACCTGTCAGCGTCAATGTGTGTGTATTAATGGTCTTCACCTACTTCTCCCTCGCGATCCTCTAGATCTGGAATTGCACCGCAATCTTCTACCACTGAGACGACGGTGACTTGAGCACATATAAAGAATAATGAAGGTTATCACTCACGCCACTTGACAATGTCTAAGTAACCTCGACTAGCTGCGGCATGCAAAACAGTAAAGCCTGTTCGAGGGGACGCGTCATTTGACAGTGCAAAGGCCTCAACTTGACTGCCTTGCGAAGCTGTCTGGAAGAGCTTCTTCAAAAGAGACAGGTCCCCAGAAGAAGCAGCTGCAGACAAAGCTTCCAACTGAGCAGGAGATGGATGAGGTTGGGTCGCGGGTATAGCTGGCAAAGATACTGGAGATGCAATCACATCTACTGGCACCATAGGAAGTGAGACGGGTATTTGCTCTTGCTCTGCTTCTGGATCCGCAATGGAAGTGGCCATATTTTCTGAGGAAGGTGACTCCCCTCCACCAGCAACAGCGGCGGTCTCCTCAGTGGTACCAGGGTAAACAAATTCCTCCTCTTCCGAGTCTGACTCAGGGTATGTGAATCCTTCTTCATCACTCTGGTCAGAAACATCGCTGGCAGTTCGGGACAACTGCGTGTCAGACAAGCCAGACCTGACAATTGTCAGTATTCAAGGACGCGTATGAAAAGCCAAAGAATGCGCACTCCTCGATAGTCCCTAAATGAGGTTTTCCCAGTTCTGGAGTGGCCATGGTGGATGGAACTAACGCGTTTCTGCTCTCACTCGATGATCAGTAAGGTTTCCGATGGCACTGCTGTGGGAATAAAATGCCATTTTTGGGGTTCGACTAAAGGGAGTCGTGTCATTTGCCCCGGTGCTATCCGCGGTTTATCGTTGCAACATCGATAGGACAACAGACCTGGTTCCGGGTGTCAAGCAGATGTGAAACGCGTTTTGCCTTATGACAGGCCCGCAGTCCGAGTCGTAACATGGTGTTTACATAATCGCGCGAGGATATCATTAATTGCACCCGCTGCGATCATAAATATTGATATTGATGATGACTCTGCTATCAGCTTTCCGTATCATTCAACGCAGTCCTCCTACTCAATATCGTTTTATGTCTTCTCTCGGTGGAAATTTGGCTCAGTTTTCCAAAGGCGCCCTCAATGGCGATCGCTCCAACCTCATTCCCTTCTCCTCACGACTTCGTGGTGGTCGGGCGCTGGCTCAAGACGTGTGGTCAATTTACAAGTAACTTGATCTACATCTTGTGATAATTTGATGCCAATTCATCAATCTTCTTTAGTGCAGCGAACCTTCCCGCAGACTGTATCAATCTTGGACAAGGGTATATGAACTTCTCGCCCCCAAAATGGGTCACAGATGCCGCAGATGAAGCTCTCAAATCGCTTTTACCTAACCACTACTCCCATCCAAAGGGGCGCATTCGTCTCCGGAACGCCATCAAAAACTTTTATGAGAAGTCCTTCAATAGAGTTCTCGATGTCGAGACTGAGATTCTCGTAACAAGTGGAGCAAACCAAGGTTCGTCTAGTAATTCTGCAGACGAGTCAACCAGTAGTTCAGGGCTGTATAGGACAATATTCCGTCTTCACCGCCTTCCTTGAGCAGGGAGACGAGGTGATCATGTTCGAGCCCTTCTTCGACCAATATTTACCATCTGTCACCTTCAATGGCGGAACGCCTGTCTACGTCCCCCTTCATCCTCAAACGGATGCTGTGACACCAAATAATAGTAACTGGACGATCGACTTTGATGAATTGCGGTATGCAGACTCATCTTCAGATCAAAGTCTTTATTTATAACCTTACAGCCGTGCTATCACTCCAAAAGCAAAAATGATTATCATCAATACCCCCCATAACCCCGTCGGTAAAGTATTCACGAGAGAAGAGTTGGAGAAATTAGCTGCTCTCGCAGAAGAATTCAATCTTTTAGTGATGGCAGATGAAGTGGTATGTTTCCTGTTCGTGTTACTACAGGTTTTATGCAACGATTACTTGCTTCCAGTACGACTGTCTCGTCTTTGACGGAAAGGAGCACGTCCGCTTTGCCACGCTACCGGGCATGTGGGATCGCACGGTAACTGTGTTGTCTGCTGGCAGTGAGTAAATAGTTCAGCCATAGAGGTCCATCTTACGTTATGTGCCAGAGGCGTTCGCTGCCACAGGCTGGCGTGTAGGTTGGTTAATTGGCCCGCCATCAATCATCTTTCCCACTCTCGCCGCCTGCACGCGAATCGTGTTCTGTTCAAATTCTCCGCTACAGGAGGCTGCTGCTGCTGGACTCGAGCAAGCTGCGGAACGTGGTTTCTTCGAGAATCAGCTCAAGGAATATCAAGAGCGACGTAACATACTCCTAAGCGCGTTCGATAAGCTTGGTATGAAATACAGTCATCCCGAAGGCAGCTACTTCGTGCTTCTGGTACGTACCGGTTGCACTGACGAGATAGCCAACTGACATGTTTCATCTCCAGGATATCTCACGCGTCAATTTCCCTGAGGACTACCCCTTCCCAGAGCCAGTTCAAGGCCGAGGACGTGATTTCAAGTATGTGTACTCATTTTTGCTCTGTTCGTTCTAACCGGCCACGACTCAGGGCCTGTTGGTTTATCGCCCTTGAAATTGGTGTATCATCTATCCCTGTCAGCGAGGTAAGTCAGTACGCTTCCAGGTTGAACCAATATTCATGCAATCGCATAGTTCTATTGTGAGGAGCATTGCACTATCGGTGAGAACTTTGCGCGTTTCGCATTCTGCAAGGATGTGGAGACACTCAGGCAGGCTGGGGAGCGTTTGCAACGTTTAGCGGAGTATCTTGTGTAGAGTCTAGGCATGTCCATCCACAATTATATAATCTTATGATGACCTTGGAGTGTCGTCCACCCGCGTGCGTCTCGCGTGCCAGGGCGCAAACTTCAAGCGCACCACTCCGCTCCGCTTGCTGGAAATCGATTACTATATTTTATTTTTGACACAACTTTTCTCCATCTTGCTCCATCTCTTACAACATATGGTGCCAAGTTCCTCATTCCAAGTTCCAACAATGTAATGTGCTCCACCTCACCTTCCCAGTATTGTAAATGTGCAAATCAAACTGCGTCATTATGAGGTATGGATATTTGCCACAAGATCAACGTCATTTATATGCCCACAAGATATAAACCCCAGTCTGTCCTGAAATTTTGAGAACGTCCAGGAAATGGCCAACTCCATCAGGAAAACCCTCCTAAGGCAATTTTCCATAAATTTGCTAAAATTCACATAAAGTTACAACATTCGTATAATTACAGCTAAGGTTGCTAAAAATGATAATTTCGAAGGTGATTTTTCAACGATTAGCAATCATTATCTGAATTTTGAAAAAGTATGTCGATCTATGTACGGGTTTAACCAGAAGGTGTCACAATCCTCAAGCACTGTGTCACTCATCCAGTCTTGCGGGGCCATGACACCAAACCTTGGTATAAGGTGCACACTGCGCTCGATATCCGCCACTGATACAATACTCGCCACTCTGTCACCACCACGCAGAGATCTCGAGAGTTTATAGAGTCCACTGTTTCGGTCAGGAGCAGGCGAAAATGGTGTAAACCATTCCACATATGCAAGGTGAGTAGGAACGCGGACTGTTGGCGGGAAGAACAGTGGTATTGATTTTGGTGGTAAGGAAAAGATGACTCAAATTTGCCCAACGCGCAAACCTAGGCTCGGTAAACAGTAAGTAATATATAATGCTGACTGACAGTGCCTATGTACATACCTTGAAGATCATCTGTATCTGCACCGAGGCTCACCAGAGCTGTATCGGATCGGCGAGCAACCAAACGAGAGCCCAGCCTCCGTTGTGGTTTTGCATGGACACTGTCCAAGGTGACACGTGCCTCGCCATGGTCACAGGCATCGACCAAGCACCACTTGATGTTATGGAAGACAGGCAGTCGGTGGAATGGAAAATGGATGTCGTGTGCCAGCACATCAAGTGCTTGACCACGGAGAGGTGCAGAATGATTGCCTCGACTCTGCTGAGCAATGTAGCGTGCAAGGGCCTCACGAAAGTGAGTAGCGCCATAGTCTTCAACCAGTTTTTGGAGGCTGACAGCCTTCGCACTGGGGTGTTTCGTCATGACTTGCTCGCGGCTGAATGTCATATCAGGTGGACGTGAATGGTAAGGATCAGACTGGTGGCCATCAGCGAGTCGCCAACTAACATATTTTTGGTGGCGTAGGATCTTCTCCCTTCGTTCAAGCCAGCAAGTCATTTGGGCAAACTCATCCTTGTGATTCGTAGCGCGGTAGGCATCTTTGTAAGATCAATATGCAGCCGTTTGGTGTACTCCGTGTTGTAATTATCAGTTGTGCTGAACAGCGTGATCATCAGAGGATAGTGTCGAGCAGCGTGTAACTTCGGGAGGTTGAAATTGTTTCGAATGCCAAGGTCGATGAAAATGAGTTTGTTTTCATGAAAAAGATCTAGTGCCTCGTCTAATGACTGAAGTGTCTCAGAACTATGGCACGGGTACTGCGCAAGGTATAGGAAGTCGAGTAGCCCGCGTACTGCTCGTAGAAGACGACCTGTATTAAGATTGTTGGGGAGGCGAATATCGATTATGATGCCGAGGAGGAATCGGCACATCTGTGCGTGTTCAGTGCTGCTTACACGTGATAAGGTGGTGATACCCTTGCTGAATAGTCAAATATGATGGTTTGGAGGAAGCCGTCGGCAATGAGCATCAATTTCTGCAGCTCCACAAGCAGCCGACAGCCATCCCAAAAGGTATTTTACCAAACCCTAATATAGCTGATGCAACACATCAGGTGTGACAGCCTGGAAAATATTTGCGAAAGGGAGATTCTCCCAGAAAGGATGTATAACGGGCTTGATTCCCACTGCAGCGCATGCACGAACAAAGGCGAGATTTCCTTGATCGAGTGCTGCAAGTGCATCCAGCACCTCACTGAGTTTTCGTAAGTGAAGTGGTACTGTATTACTTCCCATGTTGTCCACGTCGACGTCACATTTCGGGCACTCGCCAAACTTGATACCGGTAGCTAGGAGTTGCTCGGGATAGTCACCGACAAAGCTCGCGAACAACGGATGGCAGCGGCGAAGAGCACCATCGCCGCTGCGCATGTTGACACCCTCTAATCCAGCATGTTGCAAAGGGGCAAGCACACGGCTCAAGCACGCATGATACAGGTTTGCAATAGACCGACGGCGTGAAGCCTTGTTGGTGATGTGTTCCAGTCGGGTCATTGGTAGATAGGCTAGAAGGATATGACCACCAAGTGAAGGTTTACGCCGGATTTCTTTTGGAATATTACCGATTGTGAGATATACGGGGTATGCGGTCTTATTGCGAAACAATGTGACTTGTGTTTTGTCTGTTGAGATGATAATCGGAATGATGGTTCCACCTGGACATTGCTGATCGAGTTTTTTCTAGCCAGCCGTTATAAGTTAGTATGAAGTCTAATTGGTGTCACACTCGAGAGTTCATACCTGTGTGTTCCACCACCATTTCCCAGTATTTATGTCATGGAACAGACGAACGGTCTGATCTTCATCAGCATAATGGCGCTCAGGAGTAAATGTAAGGTATTTTGCGAAGTCAGGATCGCCATACAATGACTTGATACATTCAATGATGTCATGATGATAGACATCAAAAGATTCTCCTGCAACAACAATTTGTTCTCATTTGAATTTTGGGCGTCCAGTCGGAAGTTCGTGGTCGATAATCTTGTTCAGCTCATTTGCGTTCTTGAATGATAACCCTAGGCGCTCACCAACCTAGTAGAATTAGCCGTTAATTGGATACTCGTGAAACAAACAAACAAATGCTTCACTCCGTCAATGGATAGCAAGTCCAAAAATGCTGTCAAACTCGCTCCATGAAGCTTCGCCCATCTTGCAACCTCCCATTCAATCTTGGAAGCAAAAGGATAGTATATGTTCTCATCATCTGCGAGATGTGCCATGTATGCCACATTAGCAGTGTGGTCAACTGAATCGTGTGAAATCCTTTGGCCAGCGTGTGGATCTGGATAAGGCTCAACTACGAATCCACGCTGGCCTTGTGCACACTCCTCAACGTCTTGATGAGCATTCCGTTGAATATCCTCTGACTTGTCGTGTTCGAAGGCAGGCATGTCATCTAGTAAGCTGTGATCTTGCTCAGCATGAGGTAGCGAGGGTGCCTCCCATTCAGGTTTGAAGAGGAAATTATCATCCAAGTCATTATTGGTCGCCTCATCCAAGTCACTATCAGTTGCCTGCTCAGCAGGCCATTCTAACTTGTCCTCATTGTAAATTCCATAGTAGTCTCCCTCAAATTCATCTGTGCCATCCATGGCAAGTTCGGCTTCATTGTTTGTTTGAGATCGTGACTGGCTGTAGAGCGCTTGACAACGGGGGTCACGACTCTTTGCAAGATGTTGGCTGAGACCGGTTACAGTGAGATCATCATGGCCACAAGCTGAGCATTCCCGATGCATATTCATAGTTATCTAGAGATGGTAAAGTTAGGATAGAGACGATGAAGCTGAGACGATGCATTATACCTGGAGACGATGATGCTGAGACGATGCGTGGTATGCCTGGAGATGATGAAGCTGGGACAATGCGTGCAATACCTGGAGATAGTAAAGTTAGGATACCTGGAGACAATGATGCTGAGACGATGCGTGGTATACCTGGAGATGATGAAGCTGGGACAATGCGTGCGATACCTGGAGATAGTAAAGTTAGAATACCTGGAGATGATGATGCTGAGACGATGTGTGGTATACCTGGAGATGATGAAGCTGGGACAATGCGTGCGATACCTGGAGACAATGATGCTGAGACGATGCGTGGTATACCTGGAGATGACGATGCTGAGACGATGTGTGGTATACATGGAGACGATGAAGCTGGGACAATGCGTGCGATACCTGGAAACGACGATGCTGAGATGATGCGTGGTATACCTGGAGATGAAGAAGCTGGGACGAGCTAGGAGCGAGGATGACCCGAAGTTGATGTAAGGATTACTAGTAGGTGACTCAAGGTGTGGTAAATAATGGGCGAGCGAACAAATAAGTTCAAGCACTAACCCACCTAAAGTTAATGCAAGTCAGGGACAGAGACTGTGGCCGAGACTAGTGCTTTGATGGCGGTGGTAAACTGAGACAACGAGTGATACAGTTGGCTGAAAATTGGGCAGAAAAAGACAGTGTAATAAGGTGGTGGTAACGAGCGAGGAGACGATGAAGCTGAGACAATGCGAGCGGTACAATCCTCCATATGCGGGGGTGTTGAGACATGAAAAGATGGTGACCCGAAGGTCCAAGACCAGGCTGTGCTGTGACTAAGGGGTGTTGAAACATGAAAAGACGGTGACCCGAAGGTCCGAGACCAGGCTGTGCTGAAACTAAGAATTAGTGTCCCTCACCCGCTACATAAATGCACTGCCTTTAGTAAAATCCTCCGCCCCATTCCCTTCTCTTTGACACTCACACTCATTTAGTCCCAGCCTTTCCCATTCATTCCTTTTATCGTTCAAAAAAAATGACCACACCTCGTGACCGTTGTGGTACAACAGAACCACGTGGGGCCAAGAAAAAAGCTATAGAAAATGCAGGTGAGCGACCAAGAACACCATCAAAAGCAAAACTGACCTGAGACTCAGTCTGGAAGCAAGATAAACCAAGACGAAAACATGCAACAGCGACAATGAAGACAGCAGAAAGGTCAGGCCACGACCATCCTGCGCAAAAAAAGAGGGCTGGTTCCGCTAGTAAGATGCCAGCACCTAGTACTCAGTCAAGAAAGCCTTCAACATTGAGTGCATCAATTATTTTATACGAAATAAGAGTCAGTACTTACATAAAAAAACTTGGGCAGAGCGTCAACGCAACTCAGTGGATGCAGACAGCAACTCACTTGACAATATGGAAGTTGCAGTGGTTTATAAGCAAGGTTAGGTCGCTTTTATGTAACAAAAAGGAAGTCTCACATGATGTGCAGCAGCCCCACGTTATCAATGACCTGCCAAACTCTGTCGAACATTTGCCATGCGAGACATAGCATTACCTCAGGATGATTGTGAACAGAGCGGTGCCGACTCCGACGATGTTCAGGACAATCGGGACGACTGGAATCCCGGTGATTCAGATGCTGACCATGGTAATGAGAGTGCTGGCAGCGGCGCTAGTGAGAATGAAGACCCAGGTACTACTGCGATGCTGCTTTTTGATGAGGTTGAGGTTAGCCACTGCGCCACTAAGCTTGTATGAACTCACAGTTGGTTTGAAGGTCGCATCACTCGTCACCGACAAGCAGCAGGAAGCATCACATGGCACTTCAAAATCGGAGTTTGTGCGAGATCGCAAACAAATGACCGAGACTCCAACCTGGGTTGATCTTGACGTCGATGATGCTGTTTCGGAGTCTATTGAAGATCCCACTACTGGCGGCGAGTCAGAATTTCTGTCTGACAATGAAGACACTGTACCAAAATTTACCTCTGACACTCTGAGTCAAGCATCGAAGACTAGGAGTATGGCCTCTCTCGTTCAAACAGAAGGTGGAAAGGTGAAGCTCCTTGATCAGAACTCAGAGACTCGCAGACTTCTTCAGTCTGCAATTGTGGAAGTCAAGTGTTACCTTTTTTCGTACATGGCTATCCCGAACTAGTTGACAAGAATCAAGTCGCACTGCAAACATTGATAGCTGTTGCCACGAAACAAGGTGTGGATGTGATCAAGAAACATCTTCAATCGGACGAACAGTATGCGTTACAGCTCTGTAGCTTGGTGAGTTCAACTTGCGCAATTTCAAATCATTCTCTAACTATTGTCAATCATGTGAGGTGGATGCTTGTGTTCCGATAATGCGTCGTGAGCTGAAGGAAGAAGCATGCGCAAATGCTGATGGCTACTTTTGCCTTGGACACAAGGACACCGCAAAAGCGAGAAGACTATTGGAGAAGCTTGCATATATCTATGTTTTGAAGTTCGATGTAGGATCAACATATCTCCTTTTGCCTGTATTACTGACATTGTTGAAATTATTCAGATCAACAATGATGCTTTACCCGTCGGGAAGAAGCCCTACCAGGGTGAACTTCTGATATTCTTAACGTATTGGCAGCTCTTTTATAACCAGAAGTCTGTCGGCATCAAATTTGCGGGACGCTTCATCGAAATCGCCAACAATAAAGCACAGCGTCCTGAAGTTCCTATCCCTTTGCTGGCATTGGTTGCAACTGCGGTAATGTACTTGTCTTCATTGTATGAATATGCCACTTAACTCGTTGCAAAGGTGTATGCAGCCCTTTTGTGGAAGTCGCAAGGCGCACCGTCTAAATTCAACTTCACGGGAAACCTGTTCAGTGAGACGTACAACTACCATGTCAGGTTCCTGGAAAAACTGAAGAAGGATGCGCCAACAAAATTCCACTGTATGATGGCCGATATTTACGACGCTGCACAGTGAGTTCCCCTTTGGAAATGTTGTCTCGATGCTTACTTTGCGCGCAGTAAGTTGAGGTACAGCGGTGCCAATGCCAGTGACCACACTAGTGAACTGGAAGCATTCGAGCTCCTTGACCTCAACAATATGATGGAAGACTAGTAAATTATCCCCCACTCGTATCCATAGTGCACAATATCGATTTGCGAAGCTGATTCCTGTTATCTATACCATGTTGGTTGTAGCGCGCACCGTTCTTTATATTAGCCTACCCATATACCCATTTTTAATCAAAGAATAATCTTTTTCGTCTAACGCTGTCTGATTCGGTTGAATCCCTCATCTAAAATCAAACACAATAGTAATAAGTCTAAGATAATGTTTTTGAATAACTTCTAATTCTTTCTAATTCTTGTGTTTTTATCAGGGGGTAAAATAACTGAGCTAAATCTGCTAAAGCTCTAATTTGTCTAATTTAGACATAATAACGAAGCATTGGTGCTAATTAGTTCTAATATCTTCTAATTAGCTTAGGAGGCTTTTCCTGATGTCTAGGGCTACTCTACATACACATCAGGGTCAGGCAATATTTAAGAGTGCTTTACATTTTGTACAACATGTAAAGCACTCTTAAATATTGCTGACCCCGATGTGATAGACTCTGGGGCCAAAGTCTTGGGCTGGTCTGGGGCTTTGGCAGCTGACTTCAGGTGGAGTTCAAACATTCTTTGATGAAAAAGCGTCATGGCTGACACAATCTCCCACCCCCTCGCGCCACTTGCCTGCTGCCATGCCCCTTCTGCCCATCCAAACAGCCCTGACAGGGAATCAGGACAGTGGGTGATTGTGCAAGTATTAGCCTTAGAAAAGGAAGGCAATTAAGAAGGGCAGATGGGCAGGAAATGGACAACAAAGGCTACTGATAGTGTGCATTTTGAGTGGAGCATGAATGTAGCATTCCAACAGCAGATGGCGGGCTGGCGGGAAGGCATTTGCATTGGCAGGAAGGCAGGTGGTGGGCGGCGGGGGAAAAGCTTGTGTTAGCTATTGACACGTGACACTTTTTCTGTTTGAACTCCACCTGAAGTCAGCCGGCGAAGCCCCAGATGTAGTTTATAGATAGTGATGGGCACCTGGAGAGTGAGCTAGAACAAGTAGAGAATCTCAGTCATTGCAAATGGACTGTCTTTACATTGAGTATGTACCTAGAGCAAGTAGAGACTAGGTACTTGTTAGCTTTTGGAATATAATAAGTGAAATAACAGGCACGTACATCTCAGTCATTGCAAATGAACTAAGATGCTCGAATGGCTGCATGAAGCCTTTTATCATAAGGTAAAAGTTCGATGTCACTCACTTCTGCGTCTCTTCTAGCTCAGCTTTGGACTTCAACACCAGACTGGCCTAAGACTTCGGCCCCAGAGTCTACATAGAATAGCCCTAGAGTCGGCCAAATCCCTGACTTTCATGAAATTTTGGCACCCTCCGGAGATTCAATATTACATGGGCTTTTCCCGCTGGCTGATATTCTACTTTCTCTTCAGGTCCTTTCATCAGGAAATTCACACATTCCTTATTTGCGCTTAAATGGAACTTATTTACACTTAACTGCCTTGGTGAAATGGGATCTACTTATCCGAAATTTCAACTTGAATGTATTCAAAAAAACATCATTGAGGTATATTAATATACATGGTCTATTATATTTCACACTCAAAAAATATAAGATATGCCAGGTGAATGATGTGAGAGAGAGCAAACAAATTTTGAGATAAGTGAGTTAAGCTGATTAAGGACATTAAGTAATGTGTGAATTTCCTGATGTTCCTGCCTGGCAACACCTCCCGATCGAGTTCTTCATATATGTTGTTGGGTCAATGTGAATCATGTCATGGATCTTGATTCGAATGTTTGGGACAAAACTAATGATGAGATTATATGTATGTCCCCCTCTTCATTCAGTTTCATTCACACATTCACTGACCTTTCAGCTGCATCTAAAGCTCAGCATATGATCACTTCATGATATCCTTACAATGTTACTTGAAAGCTGACAGCAGCTGCCACTATTTCGAGTTCAAATTTATGTGCTGCACAGACCATTGTAACGGGAAGGACTGCAAGGAGAACCAATGCCAGACCTCTATGGTGGGAGGCTACAGCTCTATCTATTGAGGACAGACTCATCAGTAAAATCACAAAGTCCTTATTTGGCTTGGAGCTGATTAATCAGCACTCAGCCTTGGACTTTGAGTAAAAGTTGCATTTTGCCGAAAAGGTGGGATAATTTGCCAAAAGTCAAAGTTTTTTCAAGGCACAAAAAGAGCTCCAACTGGATACAGAAGTTTAAGGGAAATAATAAGATTCAAGCAAATACAACTACTACCAAGATGTAAAATTACCAAAGTATAGTAGTAAAACTGAACATTATGATGCGATTTCAAACATGTGATGATCAACATACTTATTAACATAGTACACCCAAAAAGCATCATAGGACACATGTAACGTGATGTCGAGGGGAATGAAATGTTTGCCGTAGATAGGGATGAGGTGAGCAACGCGGTGTAAAGAGTTGATTCTGTGTAGGCGCTACAAATAGTGTTACCTTAGAATCCCAAAGTGCGAGTGTGATGCTCGTCCCAAAGAGACTGCCTATAGAACTACCTCTTGATATAAAATGCAAGGGATGTCTTGTTAAGATCAAAGATGAGAACAGGAATGATACCTAAAACATGTTCTGTGTTTCCAAAGGTGCGTCCGAAGTGTCCAAAGGTGGTCCGACATCAAGAAACAAAGGTCCGAGGTTGCGCGAAGCATCCAAAGAATGTCCAGCAAACAGCGAAGGTTCCGAGAGAGAAATACGGCGGGTTTGTCGAAGTGTGTCGAAGTGTAAGACTAGCAGAAGTACCAAAGTACGACTAACAAAGCCTATTGGAAGAACTAAGAGACAGCGAGATGCAAAATGGCAGCGGTCAGGCCAAACAATTGTTCCGAATGAACAAAAAGATTGATTGCGCGAAGTATGACTATCCGAAGTGACTCTACAAACTATGACTCATAGCAAGGAAAGTGAAGTGAAGTGCGAGTATCTAGCAAGCTAGATTATATCCTACAGCGTGAAGGTCCAGAATCTGCATAGGTGAAACCTGTAGCGAGATAAGCTATCTGAAATGTAATAAGACTCATGGTGAGCCGCTACAGAGATATGCATGTAATAGCGCACAAGGCATGCAGCTATACATATTAATCAGGCATTCCAATGTATGTGCCCCTAAGACATAATCAATAACAGATAAACCAAGTGAAAACGCACCAGCAAAGTCAAACAGACACGGAAAGGACATGGTACGAGGGATCAGAAGTGTATACAGGCCTCAGAAGGGGACAGATGACCTTCAAACGACTCGGATGAGTGCATGGAACTCTCAGAAGGTAAAAGGAGTGTTGAGGAGTATAATGTGAGACACCTATGAATTTGGCAGGATACACGACCAATGCCAGTCCGAGTGCTACAATGCCTTCTCCTTGTGGAGAAGAAGGTTCATCATCGCTGCTGTCCTCATAGTATGTGCGAATTTGGGGGGTCTCTGGGTAGCTGATGTCGTCACTCTCTGATGCCCAATTGTTTGCATCAGTGGCAGGCAGGTCTTCCTTGGGCGTTACTTGTGATCCAGTATCATGAGGTCATTGGGCTGTGCAGCATGGTCAATATTGAGTCTGTGATATGGAGTCTAAATTTAAATGACTAACCGTAAATGCAGCACCTACAATGAAAAGCATGAACTAAACAATCAGCACCGTCAGGGTTGTGTTCCCAACCAATGGGTTGTGGTGAGGTCATTGGTCCAACTGTTGAAGTCCATTATAATTAGAGCCACAGTGATGTCGCAAAAGTGAACTTGCCTCATCCACTTTGCACAAGATAGATGGCCTGTAGAAATTGCTCAATTGTAAAACATGGGTGCGGTAGCATTTGCACGCAGCACCCATGACATTTGCATCTGATGGAGCCGTTGTCTTGGTCCATGTCTGTGAAAAAATGGCTATAGTTGGATGGTAGTAAGGGTGGCAAGAGACTGAGAAAATTTACGTGGTCTAGACACTTCGGAAAAATCCATTAAGATCGTGATTGGCTGGAGAAAAATGAATGCCTCAGTTGAATTTCAGCTTGCTCCCAATAACTCACCAATTGACCAAAAGGGACAAACTCAAACATAAAAATTTCTCGTGCATTATATTTTTATCATGAAAGGGTGGGGCGGACTAACAGACTTAATTTAGGAGATGGCTCCTCTGAGATGGACCACATCAGAAGAGCTTGAGTGGCTTCAGAATGAGCTACCTGAGTTTCTGAACATGCAAAAAGATCAAAAACTTACTTGTTTCTATGAGCTCCTATTTCCGAGGTGGTTTAGTCTGTTTCTGGAACACTTGAAATATTGGAAACCAACTGGTAACCCTCCTCTGCACGAAGGGGAGGCAGTTGTTCATCAGAATGATGACAGCAGTGACACTAATATTAGTGACGAGAGCGGCCTGTTACCACTCACCCCAGAACAAGAAGCTGAGCTTGAAGGGGAAAAAGAGATCCGGCAGAAGGTAAGTTCATATAACAGGTGTTCTAGAAGAGTAGCCACTAAAGGCATAAGCAGAAATTAAGAGAATGGTTCCAGAATCACATAATTCAGTACTTTATTTTCGACTTAGTCGGACAGCCAAAGGTTGAGAATCGACCCAGTTAGGTGGGCCATCCAACGTGGGCCCATGTGTGCTTATGCATGGATGGGCCCACAGTGTGGAATAGCGCCCATGCTAGCGGGTGGGCCAAGTGTCGATGCCATAGCATGAATGGGACAATTGTAATGGGCCACAAGGTACATGGGCCCAGTTATATATCTCGGAAGGGGGGTACGGATGGGCCTAGCTACTTATTCTTGGGGAAATTTGATGTCGGAAGAGCCAACAGGAAAATTTTGAGCCCATAATAGTATCAGGCATGGCTGGCGAATGGGCTCAGCTTGTATCGGAATAGCTTACGGATGAGCCCAGCTGGTTATTGACAGTATCGGAAGAGGGCACAAGTGAGCCGACCGGTTATTCCTGGGCCCATCACAATACTGGGAAGGGTTAGTGGATGGGCCAACTGGTTATTTTGGGCCCAGTAGATACCAATTCAGTGTGTGGATAGGTCAAATATGCAAGACCTGGCCCGGCACATAACAAATTCAGGTGCGGATTGGCTCAGTACACAAGCATCCGGAAGGGCCCAATTGGTCCTCACATTCAATATGCGGATCGGTCCGGCTGGTAAGGTTTAGGCCCAGTGCACCAATATCCGGAAGGCCCAAACTGGCCCAGCACATGCACATTCATGCAGATCGGGCCAGTCAAGGTGGGCCCCAATATGCAGGCAAGTCGGGTGGGCCTACCATGAAGGAATTCCCGGTAGTAATGGGTGAGCCATTAGTATATGGATGTGGTACTGATTTGGTAGGGGTCACGGATGGGCCCAGCAAGTTTTTTTGGCCCACCGGATATGCATATGATCCCGCCCAGAGGGGCAACATACAGTCCCATCTATTGTTTGGCCCAGTACATATGCCGGGTAGTCTTGGATGGGCCTACAGATGGGCCCAAGAGAATATGCATTTGATCTCGGAAGGGCCGACTAAGCCGAATATATGGCATGGGACTGCATTGCATTCTCGAAGGGCCAGCTAGTTATTTGGTCTGGCCCATGATAGGCATCTGATTTCGGAAGGGCCAACAGTTGTGCCCAGCAGGATATTCTTCGGCCTAGTACATGTGCAAATAATCTCGGAGCGGCTTCTGGATAAGCCCAGTGCAAGTGTTGGATCTTGGAAGGGCTCGGCTAGGGAATTTTGGCCAAGTCAGTGCACTTTGTGTCAGAGACTAGTTTTACAGATGCAACTGGTGCAACAGAAACAAGTAATGAAATACGGGACAAAGTTCGATACGAATGCTGATCCGGATCCGACGTTGATATACATGTCGGAGGGATGCATCATACGTGTACCATCCGCGATGATGTGCATCATTATAACGCTCAGAAAATCATCGGCCGCGATCATCGTGCCGTAGTCGGGAGTCTCAAAACTTTCATTGCCACTACCGCATGAATATCACAGCTTCATGTAATTATCATGAAGTAAAGCATATCCTCACTAGGGAAGACAAGATATTGAATGAAACAACAATGCAGCTCATATCTACAAATCACATAAACCCAGAACTGAGCTACAGGAGATGGGGACCGTGAACAGCATAGTAAGGAAAGATGTAGCTAAAAGTACAGAATATATAGGGTATCATGATATAAAGAATCCTGGAAGAGCCCCTTCAGTGACAAATTCCGTATTATACGGGCCACCCGACCTACATAATATCCCGTATGAGATGGGCCAGCGGATTATGGGCCCATGTTGTGTATATTCTCGATGATGACAGATGGGCCGGGACACATATTATTTCCGATGGAGACGGGTGGGCCCATGTATGCCAATGATATATATATCCTTGATGTTGACGGATGGGCCGGGGGAATATGATCATTCATGGAGATGGGTGGGCCCATCAGGGTAATATGTAGAGTAGGATATTATAGACAGCTGGGCTGAAGAGAGATGTAAGGCAAATATTGTTATATAGATGGGTGGGCCGACAGGGGTGTATTACATATATGGGTGGGCCGAGGTAGGGGAATATTACATAGATGGGTGGGCTGACGCGGGGTGTATTACATATACAGGTGGGCCGACATAAAAAGTATTACATATATGGGTGGGCCAACGAAAGGGATATCAAATAGACGGGTGGGCCAAGGGTGTGATAAAATATTTATTACATAGACAGGTGGGCCGAGGTGGGGTATAATTATATAGATGGGTGGGCCGACGTAGTATGTATTATATAGACGGGTGGGCCAACATAGGATGTATTACATAGACGGGTGGGCCGACGTGGGGGATAATACATAGATGGGTGGGCTGATGTGGGGGAATTGTACATAGATGGGTACATATATGGGTGAGCCTAGATACATATAAATGTCAAATTTTCAGTGCAAAACCCCAAACCGAGATTTACCAACCCCCGAACCCCAAAATTGTGGACTGCTGGGTCCCAGGTTTTGGGGTTCGGGGGTCCCGGAACTCGGAACTCGGTATGTGAGACAACAAAAATATATTTCAAACACGGGTAAGTCAATGTGTTTGTCAATCAACTCAATTGTAAATTATATTTTATTGATCTCACCAAATTTCCCAAGTTCCGAGTTCCGAGCTCCGGGACCCCCGAACCCCGAAACCCGGCACCCGGCAGTCCACAATTTCAGGGTTCGGGAGTTGGTAAAATGTGTATGGATAGATGAAAGGTTGATTTAAACATTTTTGAAAGATGTCCCATATGAAATGTTAAGTCCCGAGTTTTGAACTCCGGGTTTCAGGACTTCGGGCTTCAGGACTCGGCATTCCAGAAACCCGGAAATCGAAACTTGGGACTTGACATTTCATATGGGACATCTTTCAAAAATGTTTAAATTAACCTTTCATCTATCCATACACATTTTACCAACTCCCGAACCCTGAAATTGTGGACTGCCAGGTGTCGTGTTTCGGGATTCGGGGGTCCCGGAGCTCGGAACTCGGAACTTGGGAAATTTGGGGAGATCAATAAAATATAATTTACAATTGAGTTGATTGACAAACACATTGACTTACCCGTGTTTGAAATATATTTTTGTTGTCTCACATACCGAGTTCCGAGTTCCGGGACCCCTGAACCCCGAAACCCGGGACCCGGCAGTCCACAATTTTGGGGTTCAGGGGTTGGTAAAATGTTTATGGATATATGAAAGGTTGATTCAAACATGTTTGAAAGATGTCTTTCATCTCAAAAATCGAGTCCCGAGTTCCGGGTAAGACATCTTTCAAACATGTTTGAATCAACCTTTTGTATATCCATAGACATTTTACCACCCCCGAACCCCGAAATTGTGGACTGCCGGGTCTTGGGTTTCGGGGTTCGGGGGTCCTGGAACTCGGGACTCGATATGTGAGACAACACAGATATCTTTCAAAAGTTTGTAAATCAATTTGTTTGTAAATCAAATTTATTGTAGATCAAATTTTATTGATCTCCCCAAATTTCCCAAGTCCCGAGCGCCGACCCGAGACCCCCGAGACCCGGCAGTCCACAATTTCGGTTTGGG